CATACACACTTGAATGAACAGGTAGCAAACATTTAGCCATCCATAATTAAAGGTCAAACGAGGTCTAAACAGAAACTGAGAGGAAGTCTATGTTTATGCTAATGCCTTGTCAGACAGAGGGGGCAGCTATTCACTGACACCATCTATTAATAATGAGACAAGATGCAGATATTCACGAGATAACAATAATGCTGCGGCTGTGACAGAAGGCTGAGTGAGTGCTCTGAACATTGGGCTGCTGTGCACCCAGTGTTTTAGGGGAATGGAGTGTATGAATGAATTTGTTTGTTTATTGATGTTTGTGTTTGTCTCACACCAGTGGCCTTGTTTAAGCTGTTTGCAAACAAGCTCAACAAGCCTCTTGAGAGTATGCCAGCAACGGGAAGAGGGTTGGAAGAGGCTTTTAAGGAAGCGTGATTCTGCTCAGAATAGTTTAGTAACGTGTACACAACAGTTAGAGCATAAGGAGGACTTATGTAATTACTTAAGTAGTGACAAATGAATAAATGAAGCCTGCTTTTTCACATTTCAAATGGCGGACATTTCTTCAGGTATTCATAAAAAAAGGTGTCTTTATTATGGCACTTGCTAAAAGTTACAAAATTATGTTGAGACCTGCTGTTTAAGGACATTTTAAGCTAATAATTTTCTTGACTATTTACTTTTTTTGCCACTAATTTCACACGTAGATAGTTGTGTAACCCATCCTTTTCTATGTCTCTTGGTAAATTTGCATGAACATATTTATGTTTGTGTTAGCTTAACAATACTCTGGTGTTCCTGTTTCTTTACGTTTGCTCAATGTTCAAACAGTTTTTAAAAGTTGCTGATATACGATAAAGATGCAACAATAGACCGACTAATGATCCTACAGCCCCCTTTAAAGGACAATGGAGCCTTATTGTCTCAAAACTGTGATCAAGCAAGCAGAATGGATGCCTGCTGTTAGTGATATCATTAGTCTGTGTGGGTCATGTCTCGAGCAGGACGCCAAAGCCAAATTAGTTAAGTTATTCATTGCCTTTTCTAAAGTTGTTTTTTCCTTCCATCTGACTCTTCTTTCTTTCGTCGGTTACTTGGACTTCTTACTCTCTTTTTGTCTACCCAAAAGTGTTGTTTTGTGTGTGTGCATGGGCAGGATTTGCGTGCCTCTCTGGTCCTCTGGCTGTAATCGGATGGGACACTGGCTCCATGACGGCCACTGCCCCCTCCACCACCCACTGAGGGAGCGCCTCTATCCTTATTGCCCTGTCATGTGTGTTGGACTGCCACTCTCCCTCCATAACCGGCTGTGAGTAAAGAGCTACCACTAAATGTTATTGGCACTGTAAGGGAGCTTACAAGTAAAATTTTTAATTAGACCAAATATTCAAAAGAGTTGGGTTCTGAGTTACATGTAAATTACTCATTTGCTCTCAAAGGTCTACTCGCATGTACAGTATGTGTTTTTGGCCTCTGTCACATTTTTGGATCAGATTTTTTTAGCAAGGAAGGCAAAAAAGAGAGGACCACCCTCACTCAGCAAGTCAGCCCAGATAGTGTATTGAAGTACTGAATGTGTCAGATTTGTTCACAACAAGTCTCTTTCTGTTGGGACAAACAAGATTATCATTATTATTATACTTTTTAAGTTAGGTATACCCCATATTCAGAAGACTAGGGTAAGGGATGCTAGTATTTTCTTTTATTTGACCAACTGAACACTAGTCTTTGTAGTGTCTGAAAGTGAGAGCTTGCCATAGATGAAGCAGTTCTATCATGCAGTGGTTCCCGATAATCGGCCATCACTGATCTGGTTAGTCTGAGCCCCCTGACCCCAGCCCAGTCTGTCTGCTGTTAGTTTGACCTTTGATCGCTCCCTTTGTGTTGCAGACGTACACACCCACACAAGCACACACAGACACACACTGTCGTCTTTTTGCCTCTTATCCTTGACAGCCCCTGAGCTCATATGAAGATGTACACAGGCGATTTCCGAGCGGTTTTAGCCATAAAGTCTCATTTAGAAGAGAATTAGCCTTGGCCCTAGTCTTGTTATGATACTGTGCTTAACGGCATTAGACCATTCTTCAGGCTTTTAAATAACAGGAGGATGGATTGTGTCATTCAAATAAACCTCTGCAATCCTACTTTCTTGTACCATAAGTAATGGTCATGAGTTCATTGTTTAACTCCTTTTTCTATAGTGCTATTGATTCTAATACCCACAGGAACATTAAACATGATCATGTTTTGCATCAATATGCTTTTAAAAGTGACGCGCGTCCTTCTCATTATAGACTAATTTAATGTTTTTATTAAATCAGTATTTATGAGCAGAAGGATCTCCATGTCTCAGATAAAAAGGCAATCGGATGAAAACAGTGAAACATATTTTTAACAAGGTTGTCCTGTGACTGGTTAGATTCCCCTGAAGGACTGAACTCCACTAAACAATTACACTCCATTCCTGGGCACTTATTCTACACAAATGCCACACAAATCTTCCTCTAACCTGTAACTCAAAATACATAGTTACACAATAGAATGCTGTATATCCTATTTTATCAGGTTGCTCTTCAATCTGCATTTCTTTCTGTATCATTATAACCTCCACATTTGTCTGAATTACATCATTCTGCAGGCTTTTGTGTGGCATTTAAACTGCCACTTTCTTCAGATCATGTGACGTTGAAGCTTTCTTTTGTTCCTTTTAAAAAGTGTGGAGGAGCTGTGTTAGTTTAGATGACGTTGACAGATAATGACAAGCATTCCTCCATAATCATTCATCAATCTAGTGTCTCATCATGTGTGTGAGAAAGTAATCTCCAGATAGATGAACTGCTTTTAAACACATGTAAGCCTTGTGTTTGATATTAATTTACCACTAAAGCTTGGCTGCCTTTACAGTAGAGCTGTTACTGTAGATCTATGGAGTAGTGTCATCCATCTTCAAGCCTGGAGGCTGTTCCTTCTCTCTCTCGCCCCTCCTGTCCTGATCGTGATTGTCTGCAGGGTTAAGGAGGAACAGACTCACTGAAGAGTTGCCTGCTTAACCTCTGCCCTCATGGTGTATGAGAGGGAAAGGAGGGATGGATGTATTTTTATGTAGACCGTTCCTTATACAACATTTTAAACATTCAGAGTTACATGTGCTTGTCGGGAACAGGTTGAGACAAATAAAGTGGCCAGGCAGCAGGTGTAACAGTGTGTGCATATAAAACCCAGGGTATGGGAGTTTCAAAGAGGAAGGCAGAGCTAACATGTTGTCCATGAGGGGGTCCAGCTGGTCCACAGTGAAGATGGCAAACAAGCTGTCAGAGATAAGAGCGATGAGCACATCCCAGAACAGGGCACTTGGGTCTGTCTGAGGTCTGTCTGAGGAGAGGTAAGCATTTAGAGGAGCATAATGCTCCTTGATAAAAATGTGCTTAATTCGTCCTACGGTGCGGATTGTGAATATTGGAAAACACATCTATTGTAGTGAAAACAAGCTACTACTGTTATCAGCTCCATTACAAAGATACAAGCATTGAAATTCTCTGCACTTAAGAGTTTCCACACTCTGTTGAGTGTGCTAAAATAAACTTGGAATGTTAATCATAGTCTTAAAAAAGAATCAGCTGACTGAGATGTGAACATATTTGAAATGTATCATTTTAATAGAAATTTGTCCATAAAACAGACACCATTTGCATTTGTAAACCATTGGAGCAGAAAATATAACAAATATCTCTGAAAACCACTATTTTTCATGAGTCAATTTCTGATATTTACAAATGTAATGTAGATAATAAATACTGGCTGGAGTGATAACCCCAATAAACATTTTCTTTTCTCTCAGATATTTTTTTGTTATACATTTTTGTTTTCAATACACAAAATCACTAGCACAGACTGTATATTTACACTAACACACTACAGGATGGGTTAACCTCTAGGTACTGATGAATGCAAAAGCACCATATTACTGCATAGGAGGACAATATATTGAGGACTGGACAAATATCTCTACAAAAATGAGCCCAAAAGAATTGTGCACAGATTGTAGAGCTACATTTCATGTTTGCTACAACAGAGAATATTTGATGGAATTTGACACAGAATTGAAATAATATTCTAAATGTTGGGTAGAAGTTGATCATCACATAATCTTGATAATATTTTCAGAGTATGTTGGCTGAGAAATCCTTGCGTGTCAAGGATCATTTTTTTCCTGCTGAATTATTCATACACAAACAGGACCGGGTCGACACACACACAGATAATATATGCTGAACCACTGATACTAACAGACTCCCTGCAGAAAAAGGGGATCTTCTGATTGGTTGATTCTCAGTGCAGAATGGAGCTTATTGGTCAGCTTAGGGTGACTGAGAGGACAGCGGTGACAGCTGTGTGATGCTGAGTTGTGCATTTACCCAGAATGCAGTGGAAACAGTGTTTACAGGTCTTTCAGCCTGTAGCTTGGTCCAAAGTGTTTATCTCCATGGTGCATCGCCTGCAGCTACTTCTGCTTGTCTCTGTAAAATTAAATCTGAGCATTCTTAAACTGATCTGACATGGGCTTAACAAACACACACACTCACAAAATAAATGCCTTTTCCAAATGCAGAGACAAAGCAGGGAGCATGAATCGCTCCACTGAAATGAAATGGCTCCCTCAAGCTCTTTAATAAGAGCTCTGATTATTTTGCTCTGTAAATGTGGACTGTCTGACAATGGGCCACAATTTACATAGTTCACCACAGATAACCTGGAAGTCACTGAGAGGATAAGAACCAGGCTCTGCTCATGGCTTGGATTAACAAACACGGAGTGCAAGTCTTAAGAAAAAACATGAAGGTGTTTCACGTGCACTCTCTAGGGTAGTCTTCCTGAAATATCCATTAGTTGGTTAGTATCATCATTCATGCCTGATCTGAAACAGAGGAGCTGAGCTCTAGAGTACAATTCAACAAAGAGCAACAGAAAAAAATAGTCCAAAATTGCATGCAACCAGTCATGGTTTGTAGAGCTGGTTAGGATGCTGCACTCCACTCTGGGAGCCCACAGCGTATATGTGTGTGGCTCTCCATAGTGTGGTATAGAGGGGGGGATGCGTTGGGGGTGTAACGAGGGTACTCTCTGAGTGGTGGACTGATCTGTCGACTGGGAATGTTTTGGGAGCTCTGAACTCCAGTCTGGTTTTGGTAGGCCTCATGTGCCATCTGCTCTCCCAGATGTGGAGAGCTGTGGTGGGACACAGCAGTGAGTCTGGAGCCCTGAGCGTTGGAGATGTAGGACGGATGGGGAGTGTAAGAGTATGGCTCCATGTTGGTCATGGCAGAGGGCACAGGGCAATTGTAGGACCAGGACGCACAGTTGACTTCATCCAGTCTGGTGTCTGAGCCTCCATACATGCACGCCTGGCGCTGTCCCATGTCTGAAGGGTAGGGGGCATCTGTGAGACCCAGTGCGATGCTGTTGTGCAGGCCCGAAGGTGGAGGGAAGGAGTATGACGATGGGTGACAATACATGTCTGTGCTTCCAGGAGACTCCCCAGTGAAGGCTTTCTTATACGGGTGCCGGTTATCAGGGGAGCATCTGTCCTCTGTGCCTGCAAGAGACAGAAATAACCAATGATCAAAAAGCAGTTTTATTTTCCCTCACTAATAAGAGTGTTAATAAATGCGGCAAACCTTTCCTCTTGGTGCTTTGGTAGGCGGTAGCTGGTTGTTGCAGATGTGGGTGCAGTAGGTTGTACTGAGTAGAGGAGGGGCTGATCATCTCTGGGCTGTGAATGCTGGGCCCTGTGTCGCAGCTGTACGGGGATCTGATGTCATCAGAGGAGCCCCTCAAAGCCCGCGCCTCTGCACTGAAGGGGCTGGCCGCTGGACATGCTCTCTGTCGAACCGTACTGCGGGGAACCACAGGGTAGTCTTTACTGAAACACAAGTACAGTAATAACATTTAAGTGTTTTTTCTCCAATAATGTAGATGAGAAAATTATCCTTAACCATATGTTTTGACTGGTGGTGGTCAATTTGTATATGGACCTTCATTTCCCGATATTATTTGTTTCTGATCAGCTTCCGTGCCCTCTCAGCTCTGATTTCTCTCTGTGTGTTCACTCACTGCCCTCCTGATGAACTCTGTGGTATGTAGGGGACAGCAGGCCACATCTCCCTGACTCTCCCTCCGATAGTGACACACACACACACACACACACACACACAGCTCTGAGATAATTCAGCGCTCTAAAAATAAACATCCACCCGTGTGTCACTTCAGATATACTCCTCTCTGTTCTCTCTCGATCAAACTAGCTCAAAACACGCATCCCAGCATTACTCTTTTTTACAAACCTAAATGCTTACCAGGATAAGATAAGAAAAGAGAACCTTTATTAATTTCACAGTGGGTAAATAAAATTATCACTCAATCATAGTTAAACACCAGATTTGCGTCTGTCAGAATAAATAGATATAATATTAGATAAGTATAAGATAGTTAGTAGATAATACATCTGTATGTCAACGTGATCATGTGAAATGTTTATCTCATAAACCAGTGTTCAGACACTTGTGCCTTGCACCATATGGATCCAGTCATACAGTCTTTCCTCCTGGTTACAGAGTAGTGCTGCACTCACCCCAGTTTGGCCATACGATGTAATTCGTTGTCGTCACCACCTCTGAATCCTTTAGCAAATGGATTGTTTTCAATTTTAAGCTGTGTGATCTGACAATATGGGGAAATAGTAAATATGGGTTAAACCTTTATTTTAGACCATAGTGTAACCAAAAACACCTTTACATGCAAAATGTGGCAATTCATCTCACTGTATAACACGCCTGCAGCACAAAGTTGTTGTTTTTGTGATAATCTATTTAGTTACTTCCTATAAATTTTGTATTAGTGAATGGACAGAAGAGACAATAAAAAATTTAACCCACTATTTATGATATATATTTTCTATACATGTCTGCCCTGAACTCTGCACCAGGATTGATAGTAGCTAGTACGAGCAGGTTAATGGGAAAATATTCACTGCAGCTGATCCAATAAATTAATATGTAAAAATTCTGCATTAACTCAGCTTAATACTTGCTGGTGTTGGAGTGCACAAATGTCACTTTGTTTTCCTATACCTCAAACTTATATACAAGTCTAAATAGATCACGCACCTTAGTAACAATTCTTTTATTTTTACAAAATGGTAATTTCTTTTTAAACTATATGTAATTATGGCTGTCATGTGAAAAATCAGTGCAGCTTAAAGCTTCGCAATCTGTCTTTCTAAACTTCAAGGCGACTGGAGCAGCCCAGATCAAGGGAATGAAGCAGGTCATTAGGCTCTCACACAGCCAAAAGCATGCACACACTGGGGGTTACATTTGCACTGCAATGGCAGTGAAATAGTGAAGTTTCTCACTAAAAAATAGTTGAGTGCCCTTTTTGCAAACAAAATTTGAACTGTGACCCATATCGTTATAGGTCTGAAATCCACAGCTATTACCATAGAAATTGACAACATGAAAAAGTTCTCTTGATGGTTAAAATATGATGTATGATATGTATCAATTAATTTATAACAAGGTCCATATGTTAAAGATACAAGTGTTTCATGAGCTCATGTTTCATACATGTTGAGGCTCAGAGTCTGTATTGCATGTACCTTATGGTTTTGGTAAGATGTTACAGCGATGAAGGCCGTCTCAGCAAAGACATGGGTGCAGAAAGCAGTGTTTTTTGAGCCAAAGCCGTTGTTCTCATCAGCTTTGACAATGTGGAGCCGAGGCTGGTATTTGTGCATAGAGTTCAGTATGATCTGTGAGAGAGTAACAATTAAATAAATTGAGTTGCAGTAAAATTAAAGACAACAAAATATTAACAATTGAAGACATAAGTGCAGACACAAAAAATTAAGATAGAACATGAGTAAAATGCAACAGAATAAGTGGAGTTTAATCAATAAAATATTAAATGACATAGAATAAATATGACACAATTAAATGCAACATTTGAATGGTTATTAACAAATTACAAACAACACGTTTTTAAACATTTCAATTGTGACCTCATTAAAAGAATATATATACAATGGAAACCAGATGTTTTTTCCCTTACTTCTGACTTTAGAAAAAAGTACTATAGTGGTTTTGATTTTAGAAGTAATTGTGAAAAAAAAAAAAGAAAACCGGTGAGAGAAAATATGTCGTTGATTGTATATGCCTATGGACAGACTGTGCACTTGGCCTGGGGTGGTGAAACGTAGCGGAATCTTTACTCACATGTCCGAATGGGTCTAGATGGTTGTTGGTAAGTTTCAGTTTTTGGAAAGACACAAGTTGGCGGCTCCAGTGCGATCCTGTGGCCGGAGAGTCCGGGTGGACGTACAGCCTCCCGGGCATTGCAGGCTCTGCCTTTCCCGTTACTGACCTAGAGTCAGAGAAATTAGCCGGGGACGTTTTTGGGGAATCTTAAATATAGGAGGGTTGATAAGACTTCTTAATTATTCAATCGTGGTATGGCCCTACTTTTACGCCTTCCGTCCTTCTGCCCTTTTTGTGTATATGCCCGTCATGCTAAGCTATATGCATATTTCACCCAAATTGCACTATGAATTGCACTTTAAAACAAAATGTGTAGGTTACTATGACTTTGACTTTGTCCAAACAATTTCCCTTGCTTGTCAAAAAAGTTTTCTGTACATCTGCAGTAGACCAAAACATTTTTTTTTTACAACGTCGATTAGTTGCTTTTGTGTAGGCCTGTGTTGGGAATTGACCTGGAGAGACAAGACACAGGCCTTGATACAAGCCAATGGATTTTCAGTGTGCAAAGCCTTTGAAACTATACGGCACGCTGAATGGGAGATTTAATCCAGTCTGTCCGCCCGATGAACCCACTGTGATTTAACCAGCGGGCAGACACGGGGGAAACGCAGGGAAGTAGGCCATCCCAGTCTGCAAGAAAAACCCGACCTTTACACAACCAACCCACATGACACTGACCATGGACACAACCATTTACTGACGGTTTGCAACAGAAGAGGGAATATATTTAGGCCTGTAGGCCTGCATCCTAATCTAAATATTAGGGTGTTTTTGTGATTATCCAGCCTTAATTAAGGCACGTAAATATAGCGCACTTTTAGTTACGTTATTAAATCTAACGAGGAATTGTTATGCGTAAAACTCACCACTTGTTGTCCGCAAATTTGTAGCGATGGTCGTCCGCCGGAACGATGTCCATGAGCAGGATGTACTTGGTTTTTGGGTTAAGTCCCGTGACCTTCACTTTATAACTTGGGAACATCCGCCTAAATGTATAGAGAAATGTTCATGATAGGCTGATAAAGGCTGCGTTGTTTACGTCGTGTAAACACGTAAACTTGTCAATATGAATTCGGTGTATATGGCTTATACAAGCTTTTACCTTCCAGCCTTAGTAATGATCATTTCTGTTCCAACTTCATCAAACTTGGTCCAAAGATCTCTATCATGAAGAAAAACTTTAATTCCCTCCATCCCCTGTATAAAAAAGAAAGAAAGTCATTTAAGTCAATATAGCCTGAACTTTGTCTCCACGGGCGTACAAAGCTCGTTACCTGCTGGTTGGTGGTGGTCTGGGGTGAGGATGGGGAATTTAAAGAATAGTTGTCATTTTCCTGTTTTCTTGTTTCCTCATTTGGAGATTCCATACAGTCTGAGTCTGGGCGCTCTGCGAGGCCAAACTGGTCCCCTCCGTTTGCCATGCCCTATTTCACAATTGTAGGATGTGTAATGTTTTAATTATCGTTAGGTCTATTTCAACGTGTGTTTTTTAATTCATGCATATCTAATGTTTACGTTCCACTGACTATATTTCAATGTATCCAAACGTGTATTTATTTGCACGCAGTGTATTGGATCAAATGTTTTGAGTCAGAGGGCATCTGAACAAAGCAGAGACGGTTGAGTGAAGTCTGCTTTGTCAAATACATGCATGCTTTTATGTTGCCCTTTTTGCCAACTGCAATAGGTCACTTAATTCTCGGAGATAATTACGCTATCATAAAACACAAACAAACTCTGCAAGATTTTGGATACAATAAGCAATAAACAAAATTCTAATTGTCATACTGTTTCAAAACAATTTGTCCTTATTTATTTAATAACAAAAAAAGAATGTTGGATTTATGAATTGAATTGAATTGGCTCGATAATTGGCCATAGTCTAACGAATGGCCCTTTGACTGCTACATATTCTATTATTGAAAGATTCTTATCTGTAACACGTTACCTCAAGTCACTGCTGCGTTGAGCTCACAAATAACACGCTCATCCTGCGCGGCGTTGTAATTGCCTTTACAACTCTATTTGCGTGTTTAAAGTCCCGAAAGAGCGAACAATGGTTCGTGGTTGAATCCCTTCGAGGCGCTGATGTTCAGTCCGTTCACGTGTTCTTGTCAAGTCAAATAATTAAAATGAGAAGATGTTTCCCATTGATAAGGCTTCTTCTGCCCTGGTCTCACCGCTGACCGTGGTCTGGACCGTGCTCCTCACGTCGTCGGTCATTACCAGTGGAGAAGAGTCCTCCCCGAGCTCTGCGCGTCTGTGCGTCACGCAATAAAGAGCTGCTACAACTCGAGCGCACATGGACCAATCACAGGCGCTCCTTCACGCGCAAGCGTCCGTGCACAGATACTTCTGACAGCAAGCTCTTATACACATATACTGTAGGTTGTCTATATGACAGATTTGTTATTCACACGTATTATATGTCTTCTGCTCAATACATTATTCATGAAAGCGCAACACACCACCTGTTTATTATATATATTCTTTATTTTATATTCTTTATCATTATTGCTCATATCCTAGCATTTATAATGTTGTCTAAGCAAATGGGATTTGTAGCAAATGAGGAATTTAGCCAATGTTTGTTATTATAGTTACCGCATTTGTGAGAGATTACATTGATTGGCATGGAGGACACGAGGCTGACGCGAACGCGCATCACATTGAGTGGATTACAACGGATCCACCGAAGGCATCCCGAACGTAGTGGGTCAGTGGGAGGTCACTGAACTTCCGATACCGTGAATCAGCGTCGTTCCCCTGCGTCTCAGTGGACACACACCACTTCATAACCCATAACCTGCATCATGTTTGGGCCTTTGTGCTAGCAACGGGATAAACATGCTGTTTCACGATCATATACGTGCGTGTTATGCAAAATATGTATTTCCTAAATATGTATACATGTATACATGTATGTATGTATGTATGTATGTATGTATGTATGTATGTATATATATATATATATATATATATATATATATATATATATATATATATATATATATATTATATATTTATATGTTTCAATAAATATATATATATTTATATATATGTATGTATGTATATAATATATATGTATATATATATATATATATATATATTATATATATATATATATATATTTATATATATATATATATATATATATATATATATATATATATATATACATACTATATTTATATGTTTCAATTGAAATATATATATATTTATATATATGTTTCAATGGGAAACATATATATAAATATATGTATATAATATTTAGGAAATATATTATTATATATATATCAGACAATGGCATCTGTCTGAATAATAAGAATTTATATAGTTGTTTGAATTATAAGACACTGTTATTGTCACTGTTATTGTCAGGTGAGTTGTTGAAAGTGTCCATATTATAAATGTGTATTATATTACCAATACTGGGATCCCAATCTAACTAAGTTACCTTGAAACTGTAAGTAATTTAAAATTAATTATTAACATAGCTAATTACTTTTTCTATGTAATTTACCAAACACTGGTCCTGATCAAGAGAATGAGATTGCATAGATTATATACCTGTCATTATGCTTTTGGTCTTGTATGATGCTAATCTGCTCTATAGAGCTCATAATGCTAATTTAGTATAAATAAGCATTTGATCCACAGCCTATTCATTCTTTCCAACACATTTTATCAATGTGTTGCATTGGGCCTCACAGTAAAGCACAGCCTGTCCCTGAGCCAGTGAAGTGAAGTTGTGTATTCCCATACCTGGACTGAGGCTGGGCGGCTCATTATTGTGCCATTGTGGTTTTGGCTGAGTGGACCCTCTGTTTTGGGTCTGGAGGAAGTGCTGAAGGGGTCCCGGGACCTCCTGCACTCAGCGGCTCCGTCTCGCACACCTTGAGTCAGCCCACAAGCCCCATGTGTGTGTGGCATTAAGGGCCAAGGTCAACCCATTTCTCTGCAAACAATCACATCACACAGGGCCAAATACATTCCAACCCCCCCCCCATGTGCGTGCCGTGTGTAAGGTGGCCTGATGTGGGAACCTTTCTGGGAGGGGTGTTGGCACCACTCCAAAGAAGGCCCCTAGGTCCCTATAGAAAATGTAGATTCATAAAAAACCTATGGTCAGTACTATATCGAGTCAGTGCTGTCAAAATGAGCAATGTTTGATCAGCAGGATCATGTTAGCTTCTTAGATATATATATATTCGCAAATATTCTATTGTTTTACTATGCAATGTTTTATTTTTTCTACTGACAACTCAAAAAGTTCACCTGGAAAATTGTGAAGTTGCTTTTAATGCTGTGGCTCCCTCTAGTGGATTTCTAGTGTAAGCAAAAATAATGTAAGTGCAGTGTAATTGATTGCGTTTATTGATGCAGCTAGTAGCCTACCTGTGATGTTTGTTTGAATTATATGTTCTAACAGAAATAAAATCACCATCTTGATGGGTCACATTTGTAGGTCAGCGGCAGCCTGCAGTCAGTCATGTGGGAAGATTAACATTTAAGGAAGTGTGTGCCCTTATAGACTTTGTCACTCACAGGCGTCAAACTGAAGTGTTAAGTGACCTTTTGTCTCTCCAAACAGACAAAATTTAACCTGGAAGGCTTTTTTGAATGGCAGGTCCTATCTACAAACTGGCCACAAGGTCTCCCTTAACTTCAACACCTTCTACAGAGCTGCACTGAAAATTATGAATGACAAAGGTGTACTTAAATTTACTAGGCTTATGCAAAATGAAAGTTCATATCTCCCAGTGTCTAAAACTCCTAATTAATACATTTAAGTTTAATGAGTAGCAGTGAGAGGCCACCTGCAGCTCTTGACAAACATCTGTTTTTATTTCTATACATTAGGACTGTAACAATGGATTGTACCACGGTGGTGTAGTGTTAAACGTTTTGTGGCTTTTGACTATTTCTCTTTGGCAGACGAGGGGAAATGGCCTTTTTGATAGTTGCAGACCTCTGATCTGTACAAACCTACCATTCCTGATGAGGCCTAAATATTGTCATAACAAATATTATTCTTCATCAGTGATATACAGCTTTTATGTGCTCCCTGGGTTTTGTACCACCACATATGTTTTAAACTAATGCCTTTTCTTCTTCCACACAAAGAAGTCACACTGGAGGCATGATGCACCTAATGGACCTTTGCACTTGTTGTGAGAGATGCACCACAGCCCCGAGTCCACAGCTGCACTGCTCAAGTGTAAAGGCCAAATAATATGACCTTAACTCTATGCACAATAGACACAACTCCTTTAGGGCGCGCACACACTTTCCATCATTTCTGGACCAATGCTAAATAGTATTGAAAATACAAAGTGGAAGAAAATGTATGTTCATAAATGATTTTAAATAGGGGGAAGAGAGTGAAAAATGTGATTTATTGTCTCCCATCACAGTACTAACCAGACCCTTATCCTGCTTAGCTTAGCTTAGCTCATATAAGTTGCAATATGTAAATTATAATGGATTCAAAGGAACAATAGAAGTTTATGGGATTGACAGGAAAACACATTCAAAGAACGGAAAAGTGCACAATTATGATTCAATTACAGTGGCACACGTCCCTGATATGCTTCAACTTCTATTTTCAGCTTTTCTTGGAATGAAAAAAAAAAAACAATCTCAAGTCATTTCCATTTTATTATGAGTATCATTATCAATTATATATATTCTTCTCCAACTTCTATGTAACGATAATTATTTGTGTTAAAACACTTCTACACTCTGACATGTGCATTGGTAATTGTAAATTGAGAATTGTAATTAAATTGAGAATCGATTGATTTAATTCAGAAATGTAAAACAAAAAGGTAAAGGTAGCATTTGTATGTATACATACTATAATAGGCTTTCAAACACTAAAATATATTCTTAAACTTAAAACAAGTTGATTGTAAAAAAGCCAAGTGCAAAGGGAAGTACTTATCTTTCAAGCAATATGTTATAAAACAAGTTCAAGTTTTAAACATTACTTCACATTTTTATAATACTGTTCTTTTACATGAACAAAGCTCAGCCAGACCAACAGTACCCTCACCCTCCAGCAGGAGGCAACACTCCAAAGCTTGGGACTGTTCTCAGCAATACTTGAGTCACATTCAACCTGCCGTTGCTTTGAGAATCTACACGTCTGTGGTGCGTATGCCGTCATCGTCCAGACTGAAGGGAAAACAGCTGCTGCGGGATTGTGGCTGTGAGCGGTGCCTCCGCCTCTCGCTGACCACTTCTCCTGAGGCGGAGACCAGGCCCAAGCCCCCCGAGGATCCTGCAGCTGGGACAGACAGGGAGTTAGAGGAGGAGGAGGCGGAGGAGGACGTGGATGAAGATGAAGAAGAGGGTAAAATGGGCAACGAGCTGAAGGCACAGTCATCTTCCTCTCCATCCAGGAGTGAGGGTCCAACAGCAGGCACGGGGGTCCACGGCTGCCAGCCTGGGGCCACTGAGCGGGACTTCTGAAGCACTGGTCTGCTCTCCGGTGCCGCCCCACTGCTGTCTGAAGACACTTTGTGACGATAGAGGGAGGCCGACCGCTGAAAAATACATCTTCTGTTAGTTCTGTCTGTCAATGTTAAAAGAGCAAATGGAAAAGACAATATTTACCTTTGAGGGGCCCCTAAAAGCTTGGATTTTCATGTCAATATCTCTGATCCACTCATGCATTTCTTCCGGAGAGTCTGTCTAATTATACATGCGTAAACATTTTTTAAAGCAAATTTACTATGTATAGATGTCTAAATGAAAATAATGTAAATCAAAGTTTTCCTTTCATCAGCATGACAGACATCCACATTTGCAGCATTCTTCAGTCAAATATATGTTTTGTCATTAGTTCTGGCATTCCGTACCTTTGTGTTACACACAGAGCAAATGTCTCATGGGAACATGTGGTATGTTATTTGTGGTAAAGACAGGTGGCAGTGTCAGTTACATAAAAACATATTTCTTGCTCATTAGAAAATGGTTTATGCCACAAGTATGAAGTAGATTATCAAAGACAAATATAAGATACAGATAAGCAACTGTGTAATACACTGTAACACCAACCTGAATGTAGAACGTGCGGGAGGCAGTGATGATCTCAAATAGGTTATCTCTGAGTAACAAATCCCTGCCAAACACAAGCCAGTGTTATTTAATGTATTACTGAAATAACTCAATGATAAGCACATGGGATATTATATAATAACTAGCTCCAGTGTGACTGCAGTCAGTCACAAATGACTCACCCTGACTTGACGAGACATTCATGGACTTTGTGAATGTCTCTCAGAGGAACAGCCCGAAGAGGATCCTTGTCCTGAACACATATTCAACATAGCACAATGGACACAAAACTAGATTAAGTCAAATCAAATTAGTTGGTCTCCTCACCGTCTCAGACTTGTAGTAACTAATGGCATTATCATCCAGCGTGAAAAAGCGTCTTTTCCAGCTTTTTCTCTATGGAGAGACCATACAGAAGTTTGACTACAAGCTTGGCTGAGATGACAGAATGACAAAGAGTACACTCACCACATTTCCTTGTTTCACACAGTATCCACACCGCAGTACGCCTGGCCTGCTCCTCTCTTTGTGCTCAGCCTCGTCACAATCATTCTAAAGCCAAAACCACCAATCAGAGAAAAAATACATCTAACGGTCACTAACTATAGACTACCAAACATTGCAAATACCACAATAGGCGTGTGAACCACAACCCCACCAATGATCTCAGTCTTGTAGGCCTGCTGTTTTCTCCTCATCAGTGTTGGTGGGGGAATGGTGATAATTGCTGTTCCATCATGCCCTGTGGGTGCTGATCCAGGCTTTGGAACCTGTAATAACAAACATCAAATAACAAATACATTTGCATTAACACAATATAATAAAATAAAGAGGTATAATAAAGACTCATTCATGTTCAAGTAGCCTCTCTTAATCGAGTATTGTTGATGCTAAAATGGGTACAAAGCACTAAGGCCCTTGTACAATGGGGAAGTGAAAGCTCCAGCAGCAGCAGTTCTTCCTGTTTCAAGCTGCAGGTGAAGCAAAGAATAACATCTCTTAAAACATCTGCTATTTAGAAATATCTGGAAGTGACCCGTTTTGATCAGGTCAGCCAACACACAAATTTCATGCAAATTCAACATAGGTATTTTATCTAGCACACAAAGAAGTCTTTCTTTGCCCAGTAACCTTCCTCCATCAAAGGTATTAAAGCCAGCTCAGGACAGCATATGAAGGGAATTGCTCCTGAGCCACTTCACTGCCGCTCAATGCCATACGGCAACTTGAAAGTGCTGAGAGAGTTAGTAATAAAAAGAGATACGCTGCCGAATCAAATGTTTATGACAGATGAAGAAAATAATGAACAGTCAGTGGCAGTACACATGAGTACACCTGAATTCTGACTTGGAATCCGAAATGTAAATTAGTAAAAAATGTATCCTTGAAATGAACGACCAGACTTGCGTTCATCTGGATTCTTCAGGAACAACTTTTATAACAGATACGTTTTCTTACACAATCACAATGGATACCTAAAGATAATCCTGGTCTATACGTCCCGCTATCAATCCCAGAACCTTCTTCCTGCTGAGAGAAAAGCGCTGATCACTCAGCCACAGTGCAGCCCAATATGGCTTCAAGTGACAATCAGTTATTTTTCAGATTGTGGAGAATTTTCTAATACAAGAAATGGTGATCCCCTTTGCGCACCTCCCTACTTCCTGATTGACAGGCGAGCTCCTGGCAACACTTGCTGGGAGCATCTATTACCAGTTATTGGTAATTATCTTTAAGATTGAGAAGTATTTATGCCCGTTTGTGGTCCTTGGATGCTTGAATTACCACTCGTGCCCAATTAAGGTGAACTACAGAGGCGTAACAAAACCACAAACTTCAGCTTCTCCTATCAAGGTAAAAAAAAAAAAAAAAAAAAGAAACTGACCATTTCCACTTGCTCTTTCACCAATACTTTGATTCTCTCCGACTTCTTAAAACCAAGCTCCACTTGACATAAAAATTGTGCTAGTGTGTGGGTGTATGTGCTCACAGTGATCTTGCTGGCCTTGTTCAGAGCAGCCACCCAGTCTCTCATGTCTATTTCATCGTTGGCTTGAAGGAAATAGCGCCTGGAAACTGCATTTATAACTACGGAAACAGAGACGGTTTCATGAATACCACAACTCACCATATGACATAATCTATCACATGTGCAGATACTTTTACTACTATTTGGTGCCACTGATTTGAGGTTTCTTACCAAAACAAAACTCGGCCTTGGGTTTCTGCTTGGCTGTGGCCTCATTCACCTAAGAATACATACGTCAGCAATTTATGTTGTTTAACTTTATTTTACAGTAGACAGAGGATATGTCGTATGAAATTCAGATTACGCTTGAGGAAAACAGAAATCCAGTGTTTTTAAAGATGTACTACTACTACTACTACTACTACTATTACTACTATCATACACAAAACAAATTAGAATTACACTATAACATGAAATACACTATGTTATACAAGTATTCAGAATACTGTACTCTATTGGACCATGTATAAAAATATGTTACAAAGTACATTTAAAATCATGTATTCTATATTCTGTAACCAAATACCTTTTCAAATATGCATATTCTCCCCAACACTGACTACTATATATGCTAATACTCCAATGTTTACCTTGGAGATATAGGTGAGTTTCACACTGCCCACAATGTTGGCTCCACGGGCTAAATTCTGCAAACACACACAGGCACAAGTATTGGTCCAAAGTCCAAGTTTACAATGGCCCAAAATGGACATCTTCCTGTTATTTTTTACTCTGCACCTGAGGGTTGTCCATGTACCAGAGGAGAACATTTTCTTGCGTGTCCAGAATAAAGTATCGCCTCTGGAAGCGTCCACTGTTCTCCTTCTCCTCGACATCCAGGAAACCACAGACGCGGTTGAGTCGGTCCAGATACGGCATGCCTGCTGCTGTCACATATCACTAAGTCACCAAAGAATAACAGTAAAGACACACACATTTAGTTGGATGTGTCAGGCTAATTAATATGCCCTTAATTTAGTATTCAAATCTACCCCATCACACGCACACACGAGATGAAAACCAACTTGCACTCAGCTGTTTTACATGTGACGTGATTGAGGCTTTGCAGCAGAAATCCTGCAGCCCTGAACCCTTCACCACAGCCAAAAATTATAGAGTGCAGTTCATATGTGCACACACACTTCCACCATGCACTGAGCAGAAAAGAGTGAATGGAGAAGTGGTGGGACTATGACACATTCAATCTCCAGGTTAACGCTTGTGAATCACTATAAAGCATTTTGCTCCTGGTTTATCAGCTGCACAAGGCTTATGTTCACTGAAATTCATATAAAACACTCTTATTTTTACAATTTGTGTATGAAGTTTTGTTAAAGCTGAACATTTTTGTCCATTTGTCTTTATACTAAAGTAGCCAAAAGTAATCAATAATACTTTTGCTTTCATGCACATGCTTTGCAGAATTTGAGAATATGATGACCTCACACTATACAGTAAGTAGAATATTAAAGTCTCATAAATACATGTTGTTTGTCCCAACAGCAAGTCTTACAGGTACAAATTTTCGGGGAAGAACCACCCTCTACACTTTTTGAACAAATCTCTCTGGTCTTATTTGATTTTCACTGGCGATGTGCTCTCAAATGAGACCAGAGAGTTTTGTTCAAAGTGCAGAGGGCTGTTCTTTCTTTATATTTGTGGAAATCCCCCTATATATACCTTTTAAGTAATATTTTGTGAACAAATCAGACTACTTTAGATTATTAGAAAATACGTTATCTTTCACATACTAAGAGCTGATTGGCTGTATGGGGGCTGTTTCACTGAAAAAATCTGAACTAAAGATGTGACAGAGGCCAAAGATACATGCATGTGAAAACTAGTGATAGAAGCAAACAGTTGAGAGCGAGAAACTAGTTGAATGGACTTTATTACAAGGGTAATTCTTGGTTTCAAAGTAAAGTAATCCAGTGTTACGGACCAAGTAACAGAGACCTGTTCTCTCTCATCACTTACGCACTAACTAAACAAGACCAACAGACATGCCACACCTAAGTCTGCAATCAGAGACAGAGTTTAGGAAACACTTTGTTCGTATTATTTTGGACGCACCCGCTGTGGAGAGAAGAGTCAGCGTGCGCCACTGCAGCCAGCGCCCAGTGCGCGACGGACCAGAGCCGCGGGGAAAACCATGAGATCAGCTGTTCCAAAGAAGAGTGCAGACTTTAGATTCGTCCATTGTAGAACTTCACGCTCTCGTGGTTGTTTGTGAGGTCGTATTAGAGATAGATGACTTTTTCCGGGTTGCTGGTTTAGTTATTAGAATAAACCGGCCCCGGATGTGATCTCTGCGCTTTGCTAAGCGCGCGGTCCTCCTCCTCCTCCTCCTCCTCCTCCTCCTCCTCCCCCTTCTCTCATCTCCAACGTTTCTGTTGTGGATCATTAAAGCTTGGGTACGTAACTTTTTAATAATAATAATAAATCTCGTATGAACTATGGACTCATTGGTGTCTAAGCCTGTACTGAGTCTGATTAGATTGTCTTTGTTCCTGTCGTGTCTTTTTTCATATCTATAGAACATTTGTGTTTGAAATAAAGCTTAAGTATATGATAGTATATTAAGTCAGTGTATTTGTATAGCATAAGAATATGCTATACAAATACAATTTCCTTGCCTATACCAACACAAAGAGAGAAGAAATTAGGCAACTTTAATTTTTTTAAATCTGTTTACCCTGAGAGTCCTATTTTGACACTTTGGGCTACAAGCTGAGGGTCCAGTGTAGATGTCTGCGTAGTATTGAATATTGCATTTTAGGTTTTGCCTTTGTCCAGAGCATGTACATGTATTTCCCCAATAAGTGAATTGTAAATTTACAACAAATAACAACAGAAAATGTTCGGCTATGTATAATTTTTACTGAAACAATCCAATAACGACTCACTAAACGTTTCATAATTTAATCTCTGTATTTCATATTGTGCAAAAACCAAGAAACAAGATTTCTTACACTTCCTTTCTCGTCAGAGCTATGTCATTGTGGGTCCATAGTGGGCCAAGTTGTGAAGCGTAGGTGGCAGAAGCAGTGCAGCCATTAGTACAGTCACCACAATCACACCACAATCACTTCTGTGCTCTTTATATAGACGCTACAAACACCATCAACTTTGTGGCTTTATGTTAATTGCAATATTACAAACTAAATCAATCCTTTAATTATCTGTAGTTTTCAACAGAACAGTAGACACAATTGAAACACACACTGTGGTGTGGAAGCATATTGTGAATGCATCAACACTCAGAAGTGTGTGAAGGCGGTGCGCAGCAGTGCCAGAGTCATGAGCAGGACTGGGCTAAAGACAGAGGCCCCTGCGCTGTTCCTGTGGGCCCCGTGGTGGCCTTTGTGGGGGCCATTACAGTTGTCACCAAAACAGCAGACCATTTTGGCTCCTGAGCTGCTGCCATGAGCCTTGTCACAAAAAGCCTTGTATGTGCACGACTTCATCACCGTGTCTGAGAAAAGAGCAAAAAGATTTAGCATTAAAACAAGATTTAAGAATAGGATTAAAAGATTCTTCATTCGTCCCAAAGCGTAGAAATTTCAGTGTTGCATCACAAGTTATATAACAGTACAGGAGCACACAGTACAAGAGAAATGAACAATACTAATTCAAATTAAATACAATCTCTTGCATAAAAAAATAAGTATAAAATCTCCATCTTCCCTATCTTAGCATAACACTATTATGTTGAGTGTCTGTTTGAAGAATTCAGCCTTGCCTTAAACCTCAAAAATATATTTAGATAACTGATCAAACTGGCAAAGATATTTTGTTACCCACCCCACATACGGATGTGACACTGGAGGACGGACCCTCTTACACATGTTTGTAAGCCCAAACTGCTTTGTCATTATAAATGTACTATACAATGTAACATAGCATTTTCTATTACATTTTTATTCAATGTAGATTGAACCAGTTCAATAATATTTCAATTAAGAACCAAGAATCAAACTTCACATAACGTCACATGTGGGCCCTGTATGACTCTGGGCTTCGTAAAAGAGGCAAATGACATAGATCTACTTTTATAATTGATTGTACATATAAATTAATTGTACATAATATATTTTCTTTCCTTTAACTAAAGCAGCTTGTCTGTCCAGAGTGCAGTTTCACATGCAATTTTGAGAGGCCTTTTACTAGTTTCTGGGAAGACATCCAGCAACCTCAAATAATGAAAGCCTTCACTGTCACACGACTACTATTTGCTATATTATTATCACAAACTAGAAACCGTTGCAATGGCTGAAGCCATTGCGATTGACTGCGGAACAGATCTAATGTGGAATTTAGCTGAAAAATCCTTGAAATCCTTGAAACTGTTAAAATACTTTAAACATCTTTGAAACTCCTGAAGTATTTGAAGCTCCTGATATCCTTTAAACTGTTATCCTTTATACTGGTTTTCATGTAAAAACCCCTATTAAGTTCCATTATACTGGTTTACATGTAAAAACCCCTATTAAGTTGCATTATACTGGTTTACATGTAAAAAACCCTATTAAGTTGCATTATACTGGTTTACATGGAAAAATCCCTATTAAGTTGCATTATACTGGTTTACATGTAAAAAACCCTATTAAGTTGCATTATACTGGTTTACATGGAAAAATCCCTATTAAGTTGCATTATACTGGTTTACATGTAAAAATCCCTATTAAGTTGCATTATACTGGTTTACATGTAAAAACCCCTATTAAGTTCCATTATACTGGTTTACATGTAAAAACCCCTATTAAGTTGCATAATACTGGTTTACATGGAAAAATCCCCATTAAGTTGCATTATACTGGTTTACATGGAAAAATCCCTATTAAGTTGCATTATACTGGTTTACATGGAAAAATCCCTATTAAGTTGCATAATACTGGTTTACATGGAAAAATCCCCATTAAGTTGCATTATACTGGTTTACATGGAAAAATCCCCATTAAGTTGCATTATACTGGTTTACATGGAAAAATCCCTATTAAGTTGCTTGTACTGGTTTACATGGAAAAAACCCTATTAAGTTGCATTATACTGGTTTACATGGAAAAAACCCTATTAAGTTGCATTATACTGGTTTACATGTAAAAACCCCTATTAAGTTGCATTATACTGGTTTACATGGAAAAAACCCCTATTAAGTTGCATTATACTGGTTTACATGAAAAAACCCTATTAAGTTGCATTATACTGGTTTACATGGAAAAATCCCTATTAAGTTGCATTATACTGGTTTACATGGAAAAATCCCTATTAGGTTGCATGATTACACTGAAGTCCTTGAAACTGCTGAAGTCCTTGAAACTGCTGAAGTCCTTGAAACTGCTGAAGTCCTTGAAACTGTTGAAGTCCTTGAAACTCTTGAAATCTTGAAACTGCTGAAATCCTTGAAACTGTTGAATCCTTGAAACTGTTGAATCATTGAAACTGTAGAAATGTCTGAAAGAGCTGAAGTCCTATTAAAATGCATGGGCCTATTAAAATGCATTGCAGAATTCTCAATGCAGATTTTTGTCCGATTGCGGAAAAACCGGAAATCGCTGAAGTCCCAAAAGTAATAGCAATAATCTCCCAAACATGTGGAACGTTTTGATGTATAACTTGTGGAAATTGTTGAAAATGTGAAAGCTGTGAAACGTGTCAAAAAAAATGACGGAATAAAGAAATACAAAACCAATGGTTGACTGCGGAAGGTTCCGCAGTCAATCAATAAACATCTTTCCAAGAGAGAATCAAACGCATGTGTCAGTGGAAAGAGTCATGGCCTGATGCATTCTGCATGTGCTCATTGGGACAGTGTAATGCTGCCCTCTAGCGGATACTCACTGGGTGCGGAGAAGGTGGAGCAGGCGTCTGCGTGCTGCGGGCAGGAGGTGGAGCCCTGCTTGTTACACTCGTCCTCATTGGAGGCCACACATGTGTGACATTGGAGGGCGGAACCTTTACACACAGAACAAGATTAAGCGCGCCTCATGATACATTTACTTTGAAATGTGATTTTAATGTGTTAAATTTGTATTTATGTTCAATAACAGCTGTAAGTATCGTTGACAGTTAAGTTGCCTTTGCCCACAGCAACATTTCTGAATGACTAGACTCAATAAATTACAAAAGGCTAATTCTTTGTCATACTTTTAAATTTGAATTTTGGAGAACAAATAAGAAACATAGAATTGTATTGTATTGTTCCTGACTACAATGTTTCAATAGGCTGCAATAATGTTATATCTAGATATATCAATTATACTCACTGTGACAGGCCAGAGAGAAAAGAATCACAAAAGAAAGTGTAGTCTTCATGGTGCACTTCATGGCAGGTAATCACTGTGGAGATAACAAGTGGGACAATGGAGAGGGCAATAGGCAGGTGGGAATATGTCTCAATCCCCATTAGAGACTTATCTCTGTAATCCACATCTCTGCTGCGCTGACAAACTCTTCAGACACTCTGGACTTAGTCACACTTCAGAGATGAATGAGGGACACAGTCTATGGCATTGCCTCTCATAGTCGACTACACTAAAATATGAATATTTCTCAATACCACTAGATATAAACCCTAGAACCCAAATAGGGCCTGCATGAAAAGTAATAAAGTCAACACTTGAACTGAAGAGAGGCTGCTTCACTGAAAAGACATCTACTCATAGATGGGACAAGTACAGTATGTTACGTTTTATTAAATCAAAATGTACAACATATACACAACAAAAGTCCAAATAGACAGTATGAACAGAAAGTGTATTTATTAACATTGAATGGTTGGTATTTAGGTTGTGCATTTAGGTAAAGAGAAGCTATTTAAAGCTATGGTGTGAGGCGTGCTTTTCAGTCTCCTCTAGTTGGACACTCAAAGACATAATGTCAGAGTAACAGGTATTTCGCATTGATTAGTGCAATGTTTTAAATACATGCAGCAATAGAAACAAAAACACAGAAATCTCAATAATATCACCTCACTGGTTATGCACGCTTGTGTGCTTCAGGCTCAGGCGACACTTGGTTAATTCAGAGCAATATAAACATAGTTACAAACAACTCCTGCCTAAAGCTCCATCCACATATAATATAGTGTTTCCATATTTGTTTTATTTAGGCAGATGTACTGTTCAAAATGTGCAAGCAGCATACAGACTTACAATTGTGCAATATTAAAATACATTGTCTTTCTTAGCAATAAACAAGAGCAGGTTGAAAAGCCCATAATTGATAGGGCTCAATCTCCTTTTCCCATTTTGGCAATGAGTTCGTCACAGATCTTAGTGAGTTCCTCCATTTCCTGATTCTGCATTTAAGCACAATATAAAGAATTGATTATACTGCATGGGAAAAGCATCAGATTCTTGACATTGAAAAGACAGCACTGACCTTCTGCTGTAAGGCCTGGTCCATAGACTCCACCTTCATCTGTTCTTTTCTCAAGCTGGCCGTGAGTGCTACATTCTCGGAGCTCAACTTGGCCCGCACATGAGCGATCTCTTCATTGGCCCTAGAGAAGAAACACAAGCATTGGATTTACAGATCAAAACATGTTCTTCTCATTCATTTGCACCACTTACTTGTCTAGTTTTTCCTCTGCGTGAAGCTTCAGAGTCTGATATCTCTGCTCCTCTTGTTTGACTCTGGTCAGGTATTCTTGAGCGCACTTTTTCAATACTTCTTCATTCTGTTAAAACAGATCTTATTTTACACAAATTCATGTATTTTGAAAGATAACTGAATGATAACTGTAGGTGATGTATGGACTTTTTAAGGCAAAGCTACATTAAAGAAGACCTTTTCTCACAAATACTCAAAACTATGTAATAAAATCTATATAACACAGGGATGTCAAAAAAGAACTGCTCGGGGGCAGTATAACAATGGTTTGCTAGAATTATAATTTAATTAATTTTTTAACAAAAAAATAGTTGGGGTATTATTTTCAGGTATTTGAAAAGGAAAGAAACCAAATTTTGTGTTGCTGTCTTGAGAAAATTAGCTTTAAAAGTATGTGTGTATGCCATGGTTGTCAATTCCATGCCATTGGGTCGGGGGGATGGCCAGAGATGCCCCCTGTACACATTGCACCAGCCCTTCACTGATCCTAGTGTTGATCTTTCAGTGGGGGCTTCAGGCAAAGGTTAAGTGTCTTGCCCACGGACACAACAACAGTGGACATCAGTGGAAGTCGGTGGAGAAGGTCTTGTAGTGGGCTTGAACCCTCGACCTTCAGGCTGTAAGGCCAATGCTCTATCAACTGAGCCACTGTCGCCCATGGCAACATGCCATGGTAGCCCTTACGGTCAATTCTACAAGTTGATAATAGTGATTGTAAATCATTTCAGAGTCAGTGTTATGAGTTTGACTGATGTAACAATGTCCTCACTCTCAAAAGATGTGTTTTTTTTGGCAGCTGTCACATCTTTGTATCAGTCGAATAAGGACTCACAAGTATAGAAACAGGTCGGATTTGTTCACAACATTTTACTTTTAAAAGAATCTTCCTGCTGGGACAAACAACATTTTATAATGAAACAAAAGGTTAGATACCTCAGCTTTAATAAACATAATGAAATATTGGAAAAATATCCATTTGTGTTCTAGTCTCTGGAGAGTAGCTCATAGTTTGTAGCTAGAATTTGCTTAAGAGGGAACTGCTTATCCTTGACCTTCAATGAAAAACTATACGACCACTGACCTTAATCACTGGATGCTTATGATCTTATTCCTTACTAATCCTCCTTAAGGCAGGCGATCATATGTAATTCATACTTGTTAGGAATGTCTTACCTTCTTGAAACCCTCCAATGTGCTTTTCATGTTTTCATATCGGCGAAACACATCAGACAGAGATCGCTCCACAGAGTTCAGATCATTCAGCGCTGTGTCCCTTTCCATCGTCATGTCGTGCAAAGCCTTCTGGGAAGTCATTTTACTGCGCTGCTCCTCCTCTGGAAGACAACACTCAGATGAAACTAATTGACAACAATTAGTGAGCAGGCTGCTTTTGATTTCCTTACCTATCATTTGAGCAATCGTCTTTTCATATTCTGCTACTATTTTCCTAAAACAAAGCAAAAAAAGTTCAGACGTTGAATAACTCAAGATTAAGGGGGTGTTCACACAAGCTGGAATACCAAACTCTATTTAGAAAAGTACATAAAAAATCAAATGTGTTTTAATAAGATACATACAGCAGTTGGTTGGCTTTACATAGGCGTAACCAAGTGGACTTTGTAATGTACTTGCAGGTTTGAAATACATTAAAAAAAAAAAAAAACATCTGATTTGTCCACAAATTGTTCACTATGTTTTTATGAAGCAATAAAAGTTAGGTAATCCAGCTTTAAGTCAGTTTATATCTTTTGAAACAGATATGTGAAACTTTGTCCACATGTGAACAAGAACCAAATTGATTTTACTGCAAAAGTACAAAGCATCCAAAAGAAAAACCGACCTCATCTCTGTGACTTCATGTCTGCTCTCTTCAAATTTGTGCTTCCAGCCACTCACTTCTGCCTCCTTGGCGATGATCTGGGGCGAGTGGACATTTGCAGGTTGTTTAACTGAGTGCACAAACTTTATTGATATATTTCTGTGTATTTTCACTGTTGGTGGGGATTACCTCTTCCCTGATGAGAGTGAGAACAGCCAGCTTCTCTTCTTCACTGATGCAAATGGAGTCGAGCACCTGACTTCCAGTTGTCTGTGAGTGACTTCCTGTTCCTCTGTTCTTCATGCTGTCAGGGTTATCGTGCTGTGGGCGGAGAGAGAAAAACACTGAACAAAAGGCAAGACCACATCCTTGTTTTGTTTGTGTCTACATTTCACAACACAACTACAGTACATATTTAAAAGGATATTGCGAATAAAAGCATTTTAGTAAGAATCATTTTGAACCTCCTTTTGTCCCTGGCTTTCATTGTGTCCTTTCTCAGATTACAGACAGTAATCCTATAATATTAATCTGTCTGTTACTTGAGAAGAACATGGTGATTTGCAGAGTGTTGTATACATTACACTGACTTAATTCTGAAACAACATCATTCTCTTGCAGGATAAAGAGAAAGAATATTTTTTTATTCATATCAAGTTCAGTGCATGTGTTAGTGTGCAGTAATGTGGGCGCCATCAAAATAGTCTCTCAACATTTCCACGTGCACCATCTAGTGGCCAAGTATAGTCATATTCTAATAAGCTAAACTGATTCAACATATACATTTTAAACTGACACACATCTGACACATTTCTTTTCAATACTACTCATTTCATGTTTAAGAGTCAAATTACTATAGAGAGAAGAAAAAACATTTACTCACCACAGAGTCAGACTCTCCAGACTTCACACAACAATCTTCAACTATAATAAACGTAAACAATCCATTTAATCAATTGTTAGGAAATAACAATTAAAATGTAATAACACCAACAAAACAGTGCTTTATATTAATATCAACAATACATAGTTAGACTCATCATATAGTAAGAATATTAATGTTATTAAGGGCAGTGAAAAGGTAATTAATGAATTGAAACTAATCAAATATCGATAATGATTAATCACTAATTTAGTAATCGTTTATAGGATGACTGCAGAATGAAATACAATGTGTTTTCAGTCATTTTGATAAAAAAACCCATTGTGGAAAAGATTGATAGATAAATATATACTTTATTGATCCCAAAGGAAATAGTGCGTTGGTCCCTTGCTCGCAATCATTACAAGTCAGCTCTGTGAAGATGTTCTCCAGGGGCATCACTGGAGCTTTGTTTAGGTCAAATGAAGAAAGAAATTCACATATTCACAGAGCTTTTGGGATCAAAGAACTCATTAATTAATCAAAAGAATAATTGGTCAACAAATCAATTATAAAAATAAACGTTAATAATTACAGCCCTTGTACTATTAGTTATTTTCATTTCTTCTATTTAGACTGCAGAGAGTGTAGAGAAGGGAATGCACATCACAAAGTACATTTAAAGTAGTATTTCAAACAAACACAACCAACTCACAGGTCTGGTCTTGCTCAGGTTTGACAACTGTGACGGCCAACTTTTCTTCATCAGTGGCATGTTTTCTGTGAGGCTCCTCGAGGACTTTGAGGTTCTGATTCATGTGGCAAGAGTTCCTGAAATCAAAGAGGAAAAGTGTGATCAGTCTGCCGTTGTCTGATAGCAGAAAAGCACCTGTCAAATCAATACTATTACAGTGACAAAGCAGAGCAGATGACACGTTGTGAAATGAAGTCAGAAAATAAAAAGGTAAAAATGTCAGCAAAATCTTATTCATAATCAAAACCCACACCAACTTAACATCATGAGAGCAGGAGGAAACCAGCCTTTTCTCTTCTATTTTCACTTACACAATAATTGCAGTGGTGAGGAGATACATAAATGCTTACAGATACTACTTACAACATAAGACAGAGGAAATGCCCTCGTTCATCAGTCCTGATGCCACATTTGGAGAAGGGAAACACAATAGACAGGTCTAAGGACACCATCAACATGAAAATAAAATGTTCAGGCAAAGCCACTAGAGGGCGTCTTTGTGCTATGCGTTTCACCGATGGTAACTTGTTTTTAAAGTAAGCTTTCACTCACTGTAAAACAAATGTAAAAAAAAAAAACAGTTAAATAGTGATTGAAGTAATCTATATTTACTTTGATTTAGCTGCAGTCATAAAGTTTGGCCACTTTTTAATTGTACATAAAATACCATACTTTTTTGCACTTTTTAACATGTTTGCTGTTGTTTGCACATTTCCTGTCTTTTGCACAACCTGAGTGATCCTACTAATGACAATTGTAACATGCACATTTCTCCACTGTGAGATATGCTTACATTATTTAATTACAGATTTTAGGGCAACATTGGGCCGGCTCTCCTCTCCCCAGGTATTACTTGAAACAGTAAATGAAAACATATATTTTAAGTGGTTATTGCACATTATTTCATTAAGATGTAACATGATGAAATCATGTTATTTCATTATGTTCTAATGAAATAAACGTTTTGTTGGAAATAACATTTTTGTTAGAAACAACATGGCGTCTCTCATGTGCTCCCGGAGCTCATCCCTCTGCACTGGGCCAGTAAAACCAGATGAAAGGGTCGAGCTCAATGTGTGTGTCATTGCACACAGTTAGCATATTTTGAAAAATATATATACATGTAGATGGGTTAGGTTTAGGGTTAACCCATATAGATGTGCTCATTTCAGAACCAAGTTTTCCATCCAGAAAATGCTGGAACCAGGTTCAAAACACAACCCAATTCAGATCAGAAAAGGACAGAAATAGAGACCATTTCTGGTTAAATACTAAACATGAAAATAACATTACAAATCTTAAGCAATTTCCAAAATAAAGTAGCAGAGAAGGTATAATATTGTTGGTCTTATCTAAAATACAGCAAAAACAGTCTGTTGAAAATCTACCAAATCCTAACTGCTACAGGTAAACAACATATTGCTATGGTAACAGATACTAGTCAAATCAAAAACAAGTCTAGAAACAGAACCATTTCCATCTCAAAACTGACAAGGCCCCAGACTCTGCACAATCTTGAGTGTAGACAGTCTCCAGTCTTACACCGAGGCTGCATCAGGGGCCTCTGTCTATGCTATACTGACGATGCGCTTTCCCATCATATGCCTTTTGTAACACTAAAATGTTAATCAATATAACAAATATGTGCTTTATAAAAAATATAATATTATCTCATTATAATCCAACAGACGATCTTTATAACTTTGAATCTACAGTATGAGCCCTCAGTTAGTTGAAAAAGTGGTAATCATTTCTCAGTGGGGAGACACCTCGCTTGGTTTCAGTAAATGTTTGGAAACAGGATGGAAATGTCTGCTGTGGGAGTCATTTAGCTGCAATAAAATCTACTCACGTCATCATTGTGGCTTTAGGGGCTTCCAGGCTACAGCTCAATTTATCAGAATTCAAGTTTCCGTTGATTAAGTCACTGTCCAAACAAATGTCATTTGTAGAAGCGTGGTTTGAGTCTGGGGGTGCTTCATCATCCACCTCTGCAGGGTCTGGTGTGGAGTGGAGACTTAGGGAGGGAGGGCGTGTGGTGGGAGACCGGTGTGGAGGACTAGTCGTCACATTGAGGTTCTGGTCCAGGCCATTTCCCAGGATGGAATGAAGGGGCCGGCTCGGGCTAGTGGGGCCTGCTGCGGAGTCATCTTCCGGTGACTCTGTAGCTATGCCCAGGTTGGAGTTCTGGTCTGGGAAGTGGTTTGAGACTTCAGATATGCCTGCAGGGAAAAAATTAAATTATAAAAGGCAAAACCATCTGTTATTATGGTCAGTAATTTGTTTGTGGCACTATGTTTGAGCAAAACAAAACAGGACGCAATTATGTATAGTAATAGTAATAGTAATTCCTTTCAGTCAGTCAAATTGTCAGTTACAGAATACATTTCAACAGAAGAAGCATTGACATTAATTCACTGACTGAAAGGGTTATGGCTGAAGTTAAACACTTATTCAAAGCCTAACCCTCTTTAAAAAAAAAAAACTATATGTATGACATTTTTTATATAAATGAATGTCTTTCCTTCCTTTTGACACTAAATGACACTAAACAATAATATGTTGTACTTCGGCCGAATGGTTGTCTAAAATTAAAAGCATGGATAATCACAATTAAGTCACTTAGAAGCATGGCTTACCACTTCAAACTTTATTTTGTGTTGCCATCTGCAAAATAACTATTATGTTATATGTCCTATTTTGTAGTCTGCAAGAGAAGCTGTGACTTCCCCTCAGACCACAAGAGCTACATCTGTTGAGTCACTTCCACAGAAGCCTTTTGTGTTGGCCATAAAAATACACTGATACAACAGAATAAACATAGCTCTGTGAAAACGACCTACTGTGCTATGAATGGAGTTATTGATGTTTCACCTTGGCACATGAGAGCTTCCCACAGATAAAAAACAATGTGTTACTTATTAATTCATGCTCTGGTTGTGTTTTCAGATTTGGGATCAAACATGGGTACTTTCTGGAGCCCACGCCCTCCAGACCGAGGACCAGATGTGGAAAAGCCCCACCCAAAAAGTCCTGCACCAACCAGCACAGGGCCGAACGACCAAAACAGCAGCTCAGTTTCACGACGTGGTGAGAAAGAGGAACGCAGATGTAGGGGGAAGTGACAGATACAAACAAACCTTTGGGCTACAGCATGAGGTTCGGCCTCATGAGCATAGGACCAGTGCTCATGAGGCCGAAAGGATAATTATAGTGGAAAAACTCCACAGATGCTTTATTTGTGGATCTCAAACCTAGTTATTTTGCACCGACTGTACCTTTAAAAAGGTACAAAAAAATAGATGCAAAGTGGACAGGAGAATAATATAACATATATATAATAAAAGAAAATAGTAAAGGTAATCCACCAAATTGATGCAGGCTTCATATTATTATGGTGGTATCATGGTGATTGTCTCGTGCACACTGGGGTGCATGTATTCCAATGTGGTGTTACTACAAATGGCAAAAGAACTGAATGTGAAACCGGTATAAAATAATTTGACCTGTGTGAGCAGTAAGCCCAATCATACAATAAGTCTGTTCTCCTTCATAGGAGAACTTTTCAAACAGTCAGGACACATTATAAGATTATTTTAATGTGTTATTGATCAGTCATGTGTTATGGTCACAACAGAAAATCAGATAATAAATGTTATCTTCCCACACAAACTGAAGTCCTTCCTGCTTTGAAAAAACAGAGAATGTTTTTGAGCTCTGTCGATTCAGGCCATGTTGTTTCCATGGTAACGGAGGGAAACTGCCGTTGAAAGCAACAGTGTTGAAGGGGTGAAGAAAAGAGGCGCTGAAGCTGCACTCACATATAAACACGATAGTTATGTAATCACGCCCATGTGCCGACAAATGAATCATGCAGCTCCACAACAGTCAGTACATAACTGAAATAAACTCTAGGGTCTCTGGGATTTTTCACACTGTTTTACCTGTGTGGGGTGAGTGGTCCAGTCGTCCCAGCAGCTTGGACACTCCTGGGGACTCTGCCTCTGGAGTGTCATATGTGCCTTCTGAATCTGAACTGTGAAAATACAACGAAATACAATTAGGACCTTAGCCTAGAGCAGGAATTGCATGAGATGAAAAGAGAGTATAAACCCTATAATTTATGGAAACTATTGTTTCTCAAGTCATACAACAGAGGGTAATGGAGTTCACGTCAAAGTGAGCTCAAAATAGACAGTGTGTTGTATTGTAAAGGAAAGAGCAGAGGAACTGTGCTCTCCACCTGCTTCCTTTGGTGCCTAAAAAGCACACACACATTGCTTCTGTTTTTAGGATATGGGCCCTGCAGACTAACCAATGCAAAGACTAACCATGCAACCGACAAGTTACAAACTAGCCACATAGTTAAGCATCTACTTAAAAGGCAAAATCCCCTGAAGAAGAACAAGTCTTCACAAGTGATTGTAGGTGGGATTTATGCCCCAATGTCCCAGTATAGTTTCCAGCTTGTCAGCTGCCAAGACACTAATTTATCTTTGGGGAGGAGGGGTGCCCACAAGCTAACAATGGAGAAATCGGGAAAAGTGAAAGTTAGAATGTTCTCGACAATCTAAGCAAGGATAAAAATAAATCATCTGATTAATGGAAAAAACAGCACACATTTTCACAGAGGTTGATAAATTCTCGATTCATGTTAAACCTAATCTACATATCTCACAATGAATTGTATCCCGATGATGGCCCCAAGCCCTACAATCCTGTGTGGTTACTTAGATACAGAGGCAAAAGCATAGAAAATAAGGTTGATTTCTTCCCCCAAATATTTCTATACTTGAATCTCTCTCCACAAATTGTTCTGTAAACAAACCCAAGATAAACAGACTGAGACAATCCCATGGTGGATGAATGTTTTGGTCAAATAACTAGTGAAATTTCCATATTATGACTAAGTTATTGTTTTAGCTGTGTGACCTTGCAGTTGAAATGTAGAGAAAGAATTTAAGATTAATATAAGCCACAGCATTGATCACTGTTAAATACACCACCACCTGTCAGTATGACTCAGGGGAACTGCTCTCATCAAACATCACAGCCCACACAACAGTTTTTGTCATTACTTCTCTGTTCCTTCATTTATAGCCTCCTCGCCTGGTCCTCCTGTTACTGCTGTCCATGTCCATTTTGCCCACTGGACTGGAGACAACCAGGACATCCCAGCAGCACCAAAATAATGCGTTCACCACAACAACAGCAGCAAACTTCCTTCACAGATGATCCAACATAGAGTGCGTCAGTATAGAATTCCTTGTTTCTGGATATGTCAGCTGCTCCTATTTTTCCGTACAGCTTATGCAGTTCAATTCCACTGGGGTTTTCCGATCCTTTCCTGTTGTGAGGCGAGGAGACACGTTTTGCGACTGCTTTGCTTTGACTCTGAGGCAGATTACCCAAGCATCTGTAGTCACTCCCTCCCTCCCTCTCCCTCTCTCTCTTCGTCTGGCTCTGTGATCAGCTGGTACACACACACACACACACACACACACACACACACACTGCTGCCTCACAAATGTGGCTTCCATTTCACAAGTTAGAGCAAGACATCTGAATGTTTAGGGTTTTGTTGTAAAAGATGAAAGTATTTTACACACTAGAGTACCCCAGGAAAGGAAACAGCTAAATAATGTGTCTATAGAAGCAGGAAAAGGGATTATGGGAGGAAATGCTAAACAATGTATTTAGAAGAATGTGAGGGGTGTGTAGCCAGTGCTGCCACGCAGTGGAGTGCCTCTGGGTCTGCTACCTTTATCATGTCCTCAATCAATATAACCTCACCAAACTTCTTTTGTCTATCTAGACATGTGAAATTGAAAACGGCAATGTAGAATAGAAAAATCTGAAAGGCAAATTCTGCAAGGACAATGTTTGAAAGTAACATGATCCTTTTGATCATGTTTGCTCTAAAGCCAAGATCCCAGTCAATAGGCTGAAGGTAGACAGACAAGCACAAGCCCATGGGAGCATCTGGAATTAATGTGTGTTTGTTATAATATTAAAACATTTGTTGGCTAGATTATTAATTTAAAAAAAAAAATCCTAGATATTACATTTGGTTTCACCATCGTGAACTGCTGTAACACTATAATGCCATTAATATTATTTGGTCATTTAAGAGCTTTTTTGCTTGCTCACCAAAGACATTTAAATATATACCTGTTTTCATTGTGAAAACATTGTTTTCAAGTATCCCACATGAGCAATAATGTGACATTTTGTAAAAAAGTCCAAACTACTCAAGGTCCAAAATCCAGGATACTTTCTATACTTCTCCCTAAAATGTTCTTACAACAATTGTTTTGTAGCACTTTCGTGCATCTGGTTGCAGAAAATTGCTAAAATTAATATAGTATGGTAGAGATGTTTTACATTTTCTCTTAAACTGTAGAACTCTGTCAAAAAGACCCATGTTCTTATGAATGCCAATGAAACAGCATCTTTAAATGCATTAATACGCAACCTTGGACAAAAGCTACACAACATTGATTATTCACCAAAATATTCAGGTCAAATCGTTACAACCTAGATTCAGTGTTGGTGCAGTAATTGCAGAGACTGAAAATTCATTTGGTTAAAAGCTCTGATCCCCTCTCTCTCAAATGCACTGGAGGCTCTGTTCAGCACTTATGTAACTAAGTCCACGCGTTCACATTTATTCTTCTTTTTCTCTTCACTGGCACATACACAGAATCTAGGCCACACATACGACAGAAACCGTGAACCGTGACTAATCCAATAAAAGGGGAAATATGGTTTTCCACTGCAAAAGGTGAACTGAGGAGGGAGATGTTTTTTCATGATTTGATCTTGAAGCTTTACTGATGTCTTCCATGTGAGATCGTTAAAACCAGTAAGAAGCCCCATGGACATCCAACTCAGCTGCTTTTGTGGGAAAGGTCTCAGTAAATAATGCCACACACTGGTGAACACACTCAAAGAGCCACAATCTTTCATAAAACCAAATCAATCACAGCCCTTGAAGACTGAAAACAACAATTATAATATGGGATAATGAGGATGGCTCCATTTGGTAGCTGCAGAGATGAAAGGTAAAGTGGAAAGTTTAGTTTTGGGGCTGAACCAGGACCTACTGAAACATTCCTGTCATTACCTGCATTGTTTGCTGTCAGACTTATCACTGAAAACAACAAATCAAACCTGTTTAAATGCATACTTGAGGCAGGAAGAGTCTTATGTAACGAACAAAACAAAAAACAGATATAGCTATACATAAGTGTAACGAAATACACACAAATAGAAAGAACAGCAGGACAACCACACAGACACAGTTCTCTTCTGATGTGTGCTGTAATGTGCAGCCCTCAAAAAATGCTTACCCATAATCACCAATTACTCCCTGACTGATGGCAGCATATGAGTCTGTGATCTAAACATAGATCAGTAATGACAACAGCTGGGATACATACACTAACATTCAAATGCCTCTCAAATATCATGATTTATTTTTATTCAACTCTAAAATAATCAACTGATAATTCAAAGACGACAGGGACATCTACGGACAATGTTGCATGCTCTACGGCCAGGCCAACATGCTGATCTGCAGGTTTGGTATATGCTCACCACCTGTTAAGATAAGACTCTTTAAGGCCTATTGCACTCCCATGTACACGGCCCACCTATGGAGGTGCTAAAAAAGAGCAGTTTAACTTACTGTGGCATACAATGTTGCCATGCGGATGCTGCTGAGGGTCCCACGATGGAGCAATGCCAGTGTCATGTTTGTAAATGCAGGTGTGCCCACTTGTCCTGCTGTACTGCGTAATCTCATGTACAGGTGCATGTGCAGACTGTCCCACTCCGTCAACAGCATCATTGCTGCATTGACCATCCCAGGTCTAAGCTCGGTGCGTTATTTCTCCAGTACTCACTGACTTCAGAGCCTATACAGGAAATGATTTATCTTTTATCTTTTTTGTTTTGTTTTTTAGAATGTATTTTCTGTATGTCTTCTGGTATGGACCTTTTACTCTTGTGTCCAAAATAAAGTACTGAAATTGAATTGAACTTATAAAGTGGTTCTGTTTATTAAAACATTGACTTGAAACAGACTAGAAAACAATATATAATAATACATCAATATGCTAAAATGAATGAATGAATAAATGGAAGAAAAATGTAGGTTTGTGTGAAGCCAGAAAGTGAAGAAAGCAATTCTGTTGCTTTGGAGCCTAATGTGCCACTGCTCAATGTATTTTGGTCACTTTGTTGTTCGAATATAACTTCTCTGTTTGACAGCGCCATCTAGTGGCTTTGCTTTCAAATGGTTTTGGAGTTTGCTCTAAAGCACAGTCCTCCATAAGAACTTCAATACATTTTTTTAGACATATGGGTTGTCAAAAGTAGACAAAAAAATATATATATATTGATAGGCCAAATAAAACAAGTCATGGCATTGCTCGCTCAGGGTGAGGAGCTCAGTCACGTGGGGGGAGTGTGTAGTAGAGAAAGGAAGCGGGTTGAGGTGGCTCGAGCATCTGTTTCAGATGCCTCCTACTAATATGAGCAAGCAGTGATACAATAAAACAATGTACAATCTGAATTACCTGGTAACATATGATACATGAAGTGCTATATTATAGTTTTTTTCAATAATAATGATATTCATATTTTCATGAATTAATGTTATCTGATCAAAATCTGAACTGATCTGTATGAAAGCTGATTAGTGTCAATAAAATATCAAACTAAAATGATAATCAAAGTTAACTTAATGCAACTTTCATTTAAGGCAATCCAACCAAATAAGCCTTGTTTCCTTAACAACCGTCTTGACAACATGTCTGTCCTTTGGATGTATTATATTATAGGTCTGTCCCATGGATCAATTATGGTCTGTTCCTGTTATGGTGCAAAGCTAGCGCCGCTGAAGAAACGCCTCTTTCGTGTTAGGGCTAACACTGGTTAGTGCTCTCCTAATATAGAGTCTATGGACAAGACCCTCACCCCACCAACACACCAGTCAGCGACTGGTGTGCGCAAGCACTGTCCGCGAACCATGGATCTATAATAATCGGCTACTGCATTAAAACTACTGTATCTGTAACTTTCTATTTTGTTAAAGAACATTTTGTAAACAAATAAGACCACAACATGCTGTGTGTAACATTTTATCTTAAATACTGAGAGCTGATTGGCTGAGTGAGGATGGTCCTCTCTCCATAATTTGGTGATTATTCTGTCACCAAAAATACAAGAATGTAAAGACAAGTTGTAGAAGCAAGCTGTTTTGAGAGCAGTTTTTTAAAATTTGTTTTTATTTTGTGCAGTTTTTAATATTTTTCTCAGCGCTATAAATAATGCAAAATATATCCTCATTGTGATATTTCTTTCATTATTTGGCCATATCGCCCAGCCCTAACTACTTTTTGCTAATGGGTAAATAAAAATAGCGGTTTTATGTAAGAACAAGAGTATAATATGAAGCGAAAGATGAATAAGATCTAAAAATAGAGGAGGACAGATACACCTTCAGTCACAGACAGCCTTAGAAATTGAGTAGCAATGTACCAGAAATTAAAATATCCAGTAACAATCATTAACAAAACAAACACAATACTATTTGAATGTAAAGATGCATTCAAACTAGTGCCTCCGACTTTACAGTTTTACAAGTTGTAGCATGCTCTAAATTCAGAGGGCATGACCTGACTCACACTCATTTCATTAAAACTGCTCATTTGCCAGTTAAAGCTCCTATATATCTGTCAAAAATCTTGCCCAAACACAAGCAGTGCTGTTCCGTTTGACAATGCTCTACCTGTCTAACCAGTTTGTCCAGTATAAATTAGTGTGGATACAAGCTATGTGCATCTGTCTTTTTTTCTCACAAAGTCAACCGTGTGTGTGTGTGTGTGAGCGTGCGTGTGTGTGTGTGCGTGTGTTAAATCCTTACATGTTGCTGTTCATCCGAGAAGAGCCTTTCTCTTGAAGACTGCTGTGTGACCCACCCATGCTTTGTTGAAGCTGCAGATTTATCCCAGATGCTCTTGGATTTGCTTGTTTTCTCCACTAAAAGGCGCACACCAGTCTCTCTTTGGGAGGGCCAAGCTTAGAATTGTGAACTCATCTTGCTCTGCTCCTCATGACTGGCATTATCTAACCATCCTTATATCCTCTCCCTCTACACTGACTTTGTTGACTGCATGTGAGTGCTCTGGACTGGAGTACCACACAAACAGTCCCGCCTCCTCTTCTCTTCCTCCATCATTTCTCATTTACTTACGAAGCGGGTTACAGTCTCCTGTTAACTTAGCACTGCCATAAGAAAAAATAAATGAAGAGATGTTTGCATGCAAAAAGTTTGGAACGCTTAATTGGGGGAGGGGGGTTCAATTCATTAATAGTTATGTGTGTCACAAGGACATTGTAATAAAGGCCAGACTATTGTTCCAGTAAGAAATAGTCTCTTCCATTGTTTCCTACAAGAATAGAAAGTGTGACAGTGAAGGGGAGGCTTGTGGCTGATGGAGAAAGGGCAGCAGCAGGACACAGCATTGTGCCTCTGTACCTGCTGTGACCAGCTGTTTGCACAATGAAAGTGAAAAACCTGTGAATTATATTTTGCAAGTGTTGTAGTTATTTGTATATTGTATAAATATTTCAACCAAAGTATATTTTACTTTTAGCCCCAGTTCTTTGGAATGCATTTTTACATACCTTTTATTTTGACAGTGAGAGGTCTTAAAAACCCGCCGTTCTTCTTCATAATCCTTTCAACACACACAAACGTCAATTCTATGGAAGCCCGTTTCCGCCATGTAAAAAAAAAAAAAGCATACAGAAAGTCAAAATTTTGAGTTTAAAACTCAAAATTACGACTTTTAAAAGTCAAAATTTCGACTTTAAAAGTCAAAATTACGACTTTAAAAGTCAAAATTTCGACTTTAAAAGTCAAAATTTCGACTTTAAAAGTCAAAATTACGAGTTTTCAACTGCGCATGTGCAGTTGAAAACTCGTGTGTGTTGTTGTCTGGAACGGTCTCTGGACGTCCTTCACCTGCAGATTATGTGAAGATATTGCCGACAGTGACCACTGCATCCATGAAGTAGCCAGAAATAATGTTGTTTGATTGATTCTGTAAAACTTTCCTGTTTAAGCCCCAGACCGCGGTCGTAGGACGCAGGGGGAGCTGTCTTTTTATTTATTTATGTTAAATTCAATTTACATATATACAACATTTAAATCAAACGACTTCTTATTTCGACATAGTAACAAATAATGTGAGCAATACGTTTTTATAATAAATCAAAGGAAAATGAGCCATCGAGACATTCCAATCCAATCTGCTATAGACCACTCTGACCAGACTATGGCGCTGAGAGGGGTCCACACGGAGCGAGTATTTCCACGGCTGAAAGGATGCGCTTTCTACGTGTTGTGTACGGGGTTTTATTCATGCATCTATAATGGGTTTATCTATTTCTAACCCTTTTCAAAGACCCTCACTGTTATCTGCGGAGTTATTTCTCCGGATTATTGCTAAAAGAGTCGTGGGCTTTATTTTGTCACAATAAAATAACCAGACAAGGTACTTATTCCCTGTATGTCTCTGTGTTCTTGCTCATACGCCAACAACTTTACCCGCACGCTCGCTCCATCAGCTCACCCCCGCGTGCACGCAAACACGTCACATACTCTTCAATGCACTGATCGCAATTCCAAAAGGGTATTATTGTCAGTGCCCGTGACTGTGGTTCTCCTGCCTCTGTCTGTGGTTCTCCTGCCTCTGTCTGCGGACCTGCCTCACTGTCCAGTAATCAGGAACGGTCTCTGTCAGTCACAATATCATTCAGTGCATTTCTGGTGCATCCATCGATCGCAATGATACTGACCAGACGTCACCAGTTGATGCTCAATGACTTTGAACAGCCACATGTGTTTTATTAATCTTCCACAGTCCGTTTAGGATAAACTAAATAGAGGCTTCTGAAGCGGATTCTAATCATAAACGGAGAGACCGTTTGCATTTTAACGCGATTACTACCACAACATTATTGCTGCTACTTCATGGATGTGGTCACTGTCTGTAGGCAAAATCTTCACATAATCTGCAGGTAGAGGATGACCCATGGTCATGGATGACCAGAGACCGTTCCAGACAACAATACATACGAGTTTTCAACTCCACATGCGCAGTTGAAAACTCGTAATTTTGACTTTTAAAGTCGAAATTTTGACTTTTAAAGTCGAAATTTTGACTTTTAAAGTCGTAATTTTGACTTTTAAAGTCGAAATTTTGACTTTTAAAAGTCGTAATTTTGAGTTTTAAACTCAAAATTTTGACTTTCTGTATGCTTTTTTTTTTTTTTACATGGCGGAAATGGGCTTCCATACAATTCAAAGTTAGAGTTGTAATAAAAGTGATACTCGGTTCCAACGGGTTGAAGAAATGTTACGTAACTTACAGTCCACGCATTGGCTGCAAACCATAAACCCATGCATAAACCAGACTTATTATGGGGAGATGGCGAGTTGGGGGAAAAAAACGTGGAAATGTAACGCATGCGCAACAATCATGTGGTCAAATTGGGTCAAATACAATAAATGGACAAATTAATATAATGACAAGTATGTTTATTTTGTTTAAGTGTTGAAAATATCCTTTTTAAAATACGGTTAGAAGCATTTAAAAATAAAGCAAAACAAACGAATCAATATTATTGTAGTCATGATGAATGAAAGACAGTTCTGACAAACTTGACTAGTTTGTGATTTTTGTCTGACTTTGACATAGGATAAATAGTACAAAAAATGTTTTGACAAAAAAACAGAAATTTATCTTACTGTAATTGTGTTAATTGTATTTTAAAATAACCTGAAAACAATAAAGCTAATCTAAAAAATAAATTGAACAACATTGATATTCTGTATCAAGGCTTGAAATTACTTCATTATATTTGTGATAAAAAACAGCTGCTGAGCATGTTGAAACAGATAGACACATTATTCAAGTCAAACATTTTCCAGTGTAAAAATATATAAGAGTTAAGGATTTAGTAAAATGTGTTTATTTTAATTTAATGTATTAATATTTCTTTATTTTCATTCATATTTATATTGAATAATAAATACACATGTTTGTGGTAATAACATTACTATATGTAATCCTTTATGTACTTACTACAAAATATATTTAGAATGATTGTTAACAGGATATGAAAATAAGAGTTAAAGTGCATAAGAAAACTAAACAGAAGGTACTGCTGAAAACATGCCCAGTTTGGGATAATGGGGCAGGATCCATTAAAACTACTCTCAGTTGGTCAGACAGTAGAAGACGAAGAGCTGTAACTTCAATACTGCTGAGGCTGTTCAATAGCAACATCAAGTTTGTCATATATTTCCTTCAGAACCAGGAGAGCAGTGTCCTCAGACTCCCTAAAAAAAGAGAAAAAAATACAAACGTAACTTCATTTCACCACAGATCAGAAAACTTTCCCCACATCCCAGTAAGACAATTAATTCTTACTTGCCCTTTCATCTCTGTTTGACCTTGGTAGCAATAGATTTTACTGACCACACAAAAAATGTGTTCTTAAATTTAACTTGACCACACGTTAAGCTACTCCTGTCTAATTAAAGGTCAATTAAAAGAGAAAGAAAGATAAGGAAGTAGCTTTTAATATGAATTTGGATGCAGCTTTGGCTGCGAAACACACTCACCAGTAACACAAGTGAGACTGTATAGCAAAGAGGTATTCATTGAAGCTCTCAATGGGTTTCTCTTGAAGAACATAGTCTATTCTACGCCCTCCATTCAACATTCCCATTTTGATCTGAGGCTGCTCCGACTGCTCCGGGGAAACTGGGAACTCTGCTTCAACACATTCACCTGTAAGAACAAGAGTTTGATGAGCCCCAACATGCCTCAAGCCCCTAGTACAAATCAAAATGAAGGGATAATGAGTGCTAAGAGCATAGTGAGACCTACTATATAACACATCTCCAGTGAGGAAAAAAATTACCTTGTGGATCTTGTATGTTTCCCTCAATTGAAGCGTCTCCCGCTTCAACCGGTGGCAAAGCTGCAACAGGGATTCGAGAAAAGGACTGCCACGCTGTTCGTAAGGATCCCAAGACATTGTTTTTTAGGTCCATGCCCATACGAGTGAGACTGTCCTTCAATTCTGTATAGTTCAACAACAAAAAATTAATGAAACATTGTTTGTACAATATTTTCTTAAACTACATGTTTACCCAGATGCATCCTCTTGCGGCCTTTATGATGAGGAATTAACATTGGCTCTACATTGACATCAGACACAATCATGGGCTCAATCCGATAAGCCACAGGATCATACTGGACAGTAAACAAGGAGTTAGTGTAAAACGTAAAATAAGCACATACTAGGATTGTTCTTACAGGGTGATAGATGTTGTAAAAACTCTTGCAGGTCGGAAAGGTGTAGTTGGGGTCAATGCGTTTAAGCCCTCGGACTGTCAGGAACATTCCAATGGGAGAACCAAATGCAAAGAAAGTCTGTGGGTGGAATGCCAACTGTGGGTAGTCAATGGAGACCTAAAATTCAAAGATTTGTTTTCATTAGTTATCCTATCGGACAAAAAGATCACGCAAGATCACAAGAGATGGAAACAAAACCACACATGAACCGAGTGATGCTTCATAGAAAACCACCAATTTAATCATGCAACACAGACATTTAATGATTGTGATTTGAGAGGCTTCTCACATAAGGACCACACTAAAATAGAGTTGAGCTGAAAAGCTAAGTGGCTTCAGGCCAGACACAGACACACCTGTCCCTTTGCTATGCCTCCATTGGTCTGTCCAGGCAAGCAGGCAGAGAGAAAAGCAGTAGCTTTATGTTCTATTGAAAAGGCCAAGTTTAATTCACGCTCTCCCAACCCCCAATACTTGTTAGCAATTTTACTATAATTTACCTGTCCAATGCCTACGTCAAAGTGTTCATAGTCAACAGCACTGGTTACAGACTGGGCTCTGTGCAACGATCCTGAAGACTGATTATCATTGTGATCACTGGGAGAGGAATCTTGACAGGAAGTATGCAAATCTGGTGCCAGAAACACTGAACTTTGCCTGGGATCCTAGGAACGAGGGGGAGGAAAAGAAACCCATTAACTACTAATGTAATGTGACACACAGTACAAATACGTAAAAGCTTCAAATAACTATAACAAACCATTGGGTATACTTTTCTTCTGGCTGCATTTAAGATCTTTTTACGAGGACCAAGAGGAATTCCTAAATCTTTAAGATCATTGTCACGGCAAAGAGCCTAAAATGAAGAAAAAGCATTGTTTATGAGTTCATGTGTATGGTTTAATTCTTTGATTGTGTATTTATGGTATTATTTTAATGCTTGAAGTCCTACCAATGATTCAACATCTAAGTCTTGTGCTTGTAGAAGAGTAAAATACTGTTGTAGGTCCAGTTGGGTCAGAAAGCGCTCCAAAGAGTCATGGTGTGCTTGTAAGTTGCATTCCTCCCCCTTTCAGAAAAGACAAGTGAACCCTTTTAGTTGTATAAATGTGCATCAATTTACCAAAAGAGGTGATAATCATAATCATACTTTCTCTTTGTTCATTTCTGATCCAATCCTCTGGTTTGTTAGCATGTCAAATAGTATCAGAGAGCCTTCATGGGGGGAAAAAAATCTCACATTTAAATCCTGCAACTTCAAACTTTAGTGTGCAGATTTAAAAACTCACCTAGGCTGTGGCCCACTATAGAAACAGTCCCTTTAAACTCTGGATGTCGTTGCTTAAACAGTGCATGTAATCTGTTGATTTCTGAGGCCACAGTGTCTACTATAGTCTGGCAGTATGTAGGACTGTTATAGAAAAACAAATCCAGTAAAGTATCATTGGTGAAGTGTCTCAACCTACTAATACTGGGCAAAGTTATTCGCTGGATGTCCCTGATGAAAATAAGCAAAGAAAGTGGGTAAGAGAAAGTAGGTCTATGTTATGTTACCTAGATGTAGCATTTGACACATACTCATCCACCCCTGTTGCATCACCATGTAGAGCACTGTGCCAGTTCACAGGCAAGAACTCCACTCTCCCTATTTTGTCCTCCTGCTGAGCGCGCTTGTAATGCGAGGCCAGGAGGGATAGAGAGGCACTCCTGAAATCGTTTACTAAAAACACAGAATAAGTTAAGTCGGGCAGAATACAATAGCTTAGATATATGTTAAAACTTGCTCTAACGACGCACCACACTGTATGATAGATCTGAAGCGAAGATCACACGCAGGGCCAATGCCATGCACCATGAATACCAAATGGTCAACATAGTCTGGTTCACCTGTAGGTACAAGCCAAAATAATGATAATTAATGTATGAAGGCGTATTTCTATTATTCAAACAAATATCCCATACCATCAGGAATTTCAACAGAAATGCTGTCTACGCCTCTCCTGACTGTTCTGGGTCGAGTTTGTTCTGATGGAGAGGACACCCACTCCTCTTGGGCAAATATTGGTTGATATTGCATTATGAGCTAACGTAACAATCACATAATTAGCTAATTGAAAAAGCATTATGTTAAAACCATCTTAAAATTATCTAAAGTTCATACTTTTGGGTTGTGTAAAATTACAGTTTCTCCTGTGGGAAACTCCAACTTTGTCTTCCACTTATCTTCGGTTATTGCTTCCTTATAAGCATCCTTAAAATTAAGAACATAAGTAAAGCACAAACCATATGCACAGTTGACATATGTTATCTTACCTCTAGATTATGACTAAAGTCTTCGGAGTAGGGCATGAATTTTGTGTCTTTATCTCCTTTATAGAACCAAGTACAGCGGCGGACCTCAGTGGGAGCTTGTTCCCAGTAAACAGCATAACGCTTTCTCTCACTAATTTTCACATCATACCTCTCTCCATTCACTGCCACCATTTCTTCCGGACTATTTCCTAGTGGAAACAAGAAGACATTATTCTACCTAACAGGTGGAAATATATGTATAAATTAAAATACTAATCAGATATGGCCTCTTTGATTAAAAAAATGTAAATGCAAATATAATTTAAAAAAGCAATGGCCACATTATTTTTGTTAATATGTTGGTTCACAAGCTGAATATCTAATCATAAAGCAGAATTAGCATCATGCGAGTCTGTCAGTTGGGTTGAAATCCAGCTGGTTTGGTGTCTACTGAATAATCTCAGTTGAAGCACGCCAGACTAATTACCCTTTATATAAGAAAGTGACTGCGCCTTCCAAGTGTATCTACTGATACTGGTTTAGATCTCCACATTTGAGTGAGGCTTAGTCCACGTCACGCTGAGCCTGAATATCAAAGCCACTCTGCATTATATCACCAACGAGGATATTCTCTTCGTAGACTTTCCTGTTTGGAGTGACCTTAACTGTATCCCCAGTGTGAACTTTCGGAGCTGAGGCTCAGCTGAGCGGACCAGACACGGGGTATGAGGAACCGTTGTTTTTCACCATAAAATGGCCGCAATTTCTCCAGGGATCAGAATGGAGACGAATATGTAGGATCCCATTCAGTACATAGAGAAAAAACAACATGCTCCGCACGGCCCCTCGTGCATCTAAATTACATCTTTCCAGATTGAAATTGAAAGGTTTTCCATACCTGTGCAGTGAGCAGACTCTAATTTTACAGCGTCTACTATGCTAAAAGGTTCCCATGTAGTACTGTCATCTGCTCGTCTACAGAAAAACCAGTGAGGTTGAACCTCCTGGTAGGGAGCAGGTGCGTCGAGCATCTCAAAGGAAGAAGTAGAGGATGGTGAAGCCTCATCTACTACAGACGTCACCTGAAACAAAGCCACAATAATGAATTACAATTAAAGTTTTACCCATATGTGTATATAGGAACCTTCTAAATTGATATGATTATGGTAATAGTAGTACATAGTAGATCACATTTTCTTATGCTGTTTGAGACTTGGCACAGTCTCCACAACTGAAGAAACAATAAAATTACAAACATCAAAACAAACATTATGACCTAAGTACAACTTTAAGCCTGAGGTTCCTAGAGTTTTGAGGTTGGTGTTTTTGTTTAACTATCAAGTCAAGATAAATAAGGGGCAAATTTTACACATATTTGTGCTCAAGTCACTGGAAACTGTGTGCATTCTCACCTTCTCTTGTGAGGAGTCTGTGGTCTCAGATTGTAAAGTGTTGTCCAATAAATTGCTTGGCCCTGGTGGGGCAGCCTGGTACAGACCCCCGTCCTCATCGGGACGTTGTGACATTAGCCCTGACACCAGGCCACAGTCTCAGGGACAGAAGCACTGGATGCACTGAATAGTAGGAAGGAAGGGGACGCGGTTATGTAAACAGCTTTTGACTGTAACTGATTGATGAGATTTATGAGACCCATCATTAGACTCCATCAAAAAAAAAAAAAAAACAATCCTTATACACGTTCATACACAATTATTGACATCATAGCGCTTCCATGCTTTGATCAGTATAATTCAATGTTATTGTATTACATGCTTTGTTTCAAAGGTCCTGTCTAGTACTGTACATCCACACTATGCTGTACATGACATGACAGGGTCAAATTAAATTAGCAACTTACACAGCTAAGATAACTACTCACGTGCAATTAGCCCTAAACTAAATAAACTTCCCAGTATACATATAGCATGTGGTAAACCTACCCACAACCTGACCAAGAACTTCAAATTGGAGAAGTTGACATTGCTATTTGTTTATGATGTTAGCTTCTCCGCGTTAGCTAAACAGACTCCTCCCACTCCTAAACAGACTCCTCCCACTGCTTCTGTCAGAGAGTGCTGCATTCACTGCAAAATGGAGCATTGAAGTTTGCTTTTACGGTTATACTCATATTTACAGTCTATGGGTTGTAGTGATAATAATTACAAATAATCATAATCATAATAATAGTGTATAAATAATAATAGTGATAAATAAATAAATAGTGAATTTGCATTGTATGCGAGGATTCCATAAGCTTATAAATAACTACCATATAACTATTATAACTATAAATAAAGATTAGTGTGTCTTATGCGTATGGCTAGTCTATATTTGTCAAATTAATATTGGCAACTAAACAGGTAATCAATAGCATGGTGGAATTACAGGTAGGAGAAGTTTAGTTTCTGAACGTGTCTGTGATAAGTTTACATGTCATTTTCATGGTTTAGCCTCTTTACAAAAGTATCTGAAAATGTCTAAACAAAACTCTCGTGGATCAGCATTTCTACTTCTCAGCATTTGAGAGTGGGATCGCAGGAGAGCAGGTCGTCAGTAAAAGCAGTTCTGTGTTTGACACACCCAGTCCAAGACTAACTCTAGAATAATGAGCTTGTGTGGAGCAATAAGAGGGTGTGGCTTTTTACACATAGACAGCAGATAAGCTAAGTTTGCCTAGCATAGAGGGGCAGCAGGAGCAGGAGTCTCAGCCCAGAGCAGGGACAAACTTTACCGCTGCAGTTGACTCACTTCTGTTCACAGTTTTCCGTTGTATTCTTTTGAAGCCATAGCAGCTGCTGCAGTCCAGGCAGAGAAGGAAAACACTCCAAAACAAAGACATGAAGGACAAAGTTAGGAGAGGAGGAGGCAGAAGTCAGGCCAAGAATGGTAAGAGTCAATGTTGTTTCATTTTCTTTCTGTGCCTGACCCTGTTTGCTCCATGTCTGCACTCCCTCCTTCACTGCATTGTATGAAAGACTTCAATGTTTTACAGGTCATAGCCTTTTGTTTTCAACGACTGCAAGGGACTGGAATGATTTAACTAATAATAATTAACAAATCTTTATCGCTTTCACTGCCAATATCTGCAGCTATTGTAAGAATCACTGGATTTTGTTTGTTTGTGTCAATAAGTACGTTTCAGGAAAGAAAAAATTCTGTGGTATTTCCTAGTTTTCCTCACTGCTACTACTAGTAGTAATTGCTCCAATAAATGAAGAGAGAATCTACAGAGAGGAGGGACATTTCCTTAACCAATCACAAACAGTGACACATTTTGGATGTCTTCCAGAGGTTAAATAGTCCCAGAGTGACAGCAACGCTTAAATATTAAGAACGTAAAGAATACTGTACTACAACAACATGTTAAAGATGCAGTCATGCAGGTGCTTCTTTCAACACACTATAGCTTGTGTGTTTTAAGAGGCTCCACATGCCCATGCAGGGTGTGGCGGTCCCTTCACTCAGAGATGACATGAGGCCAGCAGGCAAATTCAACAGGTTAAGTCACACTACAGGTTGAAGAACACGCTCAGTCCTGTTAAAGACCAAGACACGCCCATGTTGGCTAAATGGGTAACACACAGTTTGTGGGTTCAATCCTGTGTTTCTCCTTGTGGTGGTTTCATTTGTAGGCTTCGATATCCCCCACACCCAAAACATTCACCGATTATCCTCGAGCTCCAGTAGTCCTTATCAAGTTGAGCATCAGCATCTGGACATGGCTGCACTACAGTAATCACTGTTCCTGACATGTTTCCCTTGTGACATTGAAGGATGGGTCAAAGAGAGAGAAAAAATTCTTAATGATCTTTTTGAAATGCTAATGTCTACTATTCAATTAAAATTCAGCACTGTTCACAGACAAATACATGTAATCACATCACATACATATTTTCAAAAGCTTTGAACTTGGAACAATTTAATATATATATATATATATATATATATATATATATATAATTTTTTTTTTTTTTCTTCCAGATGACACAATGGATCTCAATAAGAATGAGGATACTTTCTCTGTAAAAATACAGGGTGCAGGAGTTGAGCAATTTGAACTGCAGGTAGGACAATGTTTTCTTTGGAATTGTTAATGAACATGCTTGAATTTAATATGTGGTATTACTTTGTAGGTGCATGGATTTTGGCTGGTTCAAGATGCCATAATGACGCTGCTTTCAAGAGATGAAGTGTTTCCTCGCTCTAATCTGTCCCTGTCTCTTGCTGGTACAACACTTGACCCTCTCACACCGATGCAAAGCCTTAAAGGATTCAAACCGGGATCTATTCTTCGTCTAACTGAAGGTTTGTAGCTCTTGCACATCATGACCATCTTACACACCATGACCAAATCCACTATTTGCAGTTAATGTAAAACAAACACAAAAATCTACATTCTGTTCATTTTTCATGATATTCCCAGATTTTGTGCTGCAAAATATTTTTTCTTGAATTGTTTTGTGATTTCTGTGAGTATTTATTTATTCACACTATTAAAAGATTTATGTTTAAATATATATGTAACCCATGTGTAAAACTAAGGTTTAAACAACATTCATAATTTACATGTAAACCACAAAGTAATGGCTTACATATAAGAGTGCCAAAATGAAAATGTGTACTTTGTTTACTTTTATCCATTTTTTTGTATATGTGTCAACAAAATGTACTGTAATGCAGCATAAAAGTCACTTAAGCAACAGCCAAAACGTCACGTTCAGTTAACTGCTACATGGTGCACGCGACCCCGCTCCTCCTCGCTCTGACTGGAGTCAAGCAGCAAGACACACGCATCAGGCCAACATTTTAACAATTCGGAGACCATCAAAAGTGCAAATCAGAAGAAAATCTACATCAATCCAAGCCAAAAGAGGAGTCCTGTTGCTGGCCTGCAGTTAAAGTTGACAGCTGATCAAGCAGAGAAAAGCCAGTAAGAGAGAGAAAGAGTCAAGCTGAACCCAGATTCTGACACTGTTCCGCAAAGGAACAAAAGAGAATTGGCAGTTATCTGCGCGAGCGCTGAGACCCAGAGCCTTGACGTCACTTTGTTCTGAAGTAGACGTGAATCGGTCGGGACTTTTAAAAAAAAAAATGTATGCGGTTTGGGAACGTCTTTGGAGAAGACCACTAGATGGCAAGGCCACCCCAACTGAGCCAGAACTGGATCGATCCTATCACAAACCACATGGATTATCGGCTGTGGTAGGACCATATCAGCCAACAAACTTGAACAAAACATCTAGATCTTGAGTGCACTCACCTGACTTTTAAGGGTTTATTTTTTGGGTTATTTTAAAGGCGCCATTTTGTTTTTGTATTTTGTTTTATATTGCATTGTATTTGTGGTTATAATCCTTGACATCTTTAACTAAATCAATTTACATTTTCTTAACTATTGTCTGTCTTTCATTCCAACACTTAACATTCGAGCTCTTTATGAACCTAGTATTCATGTAAATTCCAAAGTGGGTTACATGTACAGATGCTCCCAAAAATATATTTAAAAAAAGGTACATGCTAAATAAAAGATGGAATATAAATTCCCCACATTGCCCAAAGCCCCCACTGAAAGATCAAGGCTATGCTCACACTTGCAGAGCAGCCATTCTCCTGTGGACTCACCACCTGCAGAGGATCAGTGAGGGGCTGGTGCTATGAGACTTGGGTGGCAGCCCGACCCAGAAATGGATTAAGGGGTAGAAAATGGATGGATGGATGGAATATAAATGGTCAAATGTTCTCATTCCAGAGCCCTACAACGGTCACTCCGCTCGGCTTCATTTGGCTCGTGTGCTTGAACTACTGAGGATGTCAGCCCCCCAGGATGCATTGCGAGAGGGTCGCTCACCAAGTATTTTGGACACCATCACACAAAGCCATGCACAAGGTGAACATCAAATACAGATGGCAAAGTAAAAATACAATCAATACACATGATTTGATGATTTCAATTTTCTTGATACAGACACACCGTTACAAAATGGAAAGAACCTCAAACGCACCAATACAAAAACAGAAGTGGCAAATCAAAATGGCACTCCAGAATATTTACTCCCAGGTTCTCATGAAAGACCTTTGATGGCTCTGCTCCCAAACAGTTTACAACCAGAGGTAAATGCAGGAGATCTGTATTTGAGTGATGATTGGCTTGTATTTAACAATATGATGTTTTTGATCAGTTCCCTTGCAGTGTGAGGGACCTGAGCCTCAGCTGCTGGAACCCTCCTCCAGGCCATCGAAAAATGCAAGGAGACTTATTGTACATCAGTGTCGTAACAGTAGAAGGACGACGCTGTGACATAACCTCTTGTCCCAAAGGCTTCTTCCTAAATAGGTATCAACGAACATTTTTCACCCCAAACTGCATATCACTATTCACTTGCCTCATTGGATTTGGCAACTTTTCAGGCTGTCTAGTTATCTGTAATGATTACATCAACAATTTTCATTGATCTTAATTTCAGGTCTACAGAGGAAGTTTTTGATCCCCGTCCAGCTCAATCTACTTCCACTTTCCACTGTTTCACTGACCTCCTTTGTCACCTCAGCCCAGCTTTCAAACAAACATTCACTACTCTTAAAAACAAGTGAGACATGAGTAATACTTTTATCAACTGATATGACTCAATAAATGTCCATTGAGATGCAGAAAGACTCATTGTTTTCTATCTTTCAGATTTCACTTGCCCCCACTTGAGGCCCTGCCAACCCCATATCCTACTCTGAGCTGGTTGGGGCCGCCCTGCTCTTCTCGCATTCATAAAAACACATTCAGCAGACTCGGAGTGGAGGAACAGCCATCACAAGTTACTGCCAACACAATTTGACAAATGGCGGTAACAGACGATGGGGAGTGGCTGACACTGCTTTCATTGTTTATAGGCTCCTGACTGGAATGAAGAGTTACAAGCAGCCAGAGACCTTCCCCAAGGAAGTCTAGAAGAGCGACTACAGAGAGACAAAGCTCTGCTACAGGTGCAAACAAATACCTCTGCTGTATTGACTAGACTAAAACATCAATAATATGTTATAAATTGTTATGAATTTATTTTCAATAATTCTCAATTGTTTCTGAAAATCAATGCTATAGTTTACTAACATAAATATAATTGATAGTGTTAACACTCAATTGTAATACTGTATTGTTGAGTGAGTGCAGCTTTCTTTGACAGGTGAACAGTGCATTTGTGAGAGCTGTGATTCAGGGAGCAGAAAGTGTTGTTGATGGTTTAGTGGACCCGGTCAATGGAAATCCAGAGGATCCAGCGTTCCTATGGGGCGGCCTGTATATGAGCCAGGGAGCTGCAAGTGACGTGTTTGGTGGAGAAAGGGGGCGCAGGTGAGCAACCTAATCAAACTAATCATTTACATATTGTCAACTAATTGTGTTTTTTTTTTTTTTCATCTACATCCACTCAAACATGCAAGAGTTTTCATGACTAACGAGTTTACAAATTTGTTATTTAATTGAAATACTCATAAAATGTGTAACAAGTATTTTTTTCTCCAGAGGCATCACTTTTGTTTTTGTCCAATGCACACAAAAAATTGCATATTAAGACCTTTCGGTCTTAATATGCGACAGTAGCTCAGTTGGTAGAGCACTGGCCTTCAGGCCTGAAGGTCGTGGGTTCAATTCCCACCTCCACACCTTCTCCACCGACTCCCACTGATGACTGCTGTCGTTGTGTCCTTGGGCAAGACACTTAACCCCACTTTGCCCAAAGCCCCCGCTGAAAGATCAAGGCTATGCTCACACTCAGAGAGCAGCCGTCCTCCTGTGGACTCACCACCTGCAGAGGGTCAGTGAGGGGCTGGTGCTATGAGACTTGGGTGGCATCTCTGACTGTCACCCCCCTGACCCAGAAATGGATTAAAGGGTAGAAAATGGATGGATGGATGGATGGACCTTTCGGGATCTAAATAAACGACCAACTAATTGTTTATCAAAATGATTGTTAATTACAGCCCCTTTGCCTAGTATGAGTGCGTAAATAATTGGTGGTGCAGCCATGCTGCTGTTAGCCGCTGCTACCGTAGTACAGTAGTTATGCCATGTGTACAATAATGCTATGAGAGGCATAGTTTGAGTGTCCAGAAAAAACGATTTATTATAAGTTTATTAAATAAGTTTATTTGTATATTGTATTTGAAATTTCCCCACTGTGGGACGAATAAAGGATCTCTTAATAGCACTTTTCACAAAGCACTTCACATTTAAAAACGTACTGATAAAAATTATGATTTTTAATAATAATAATAGTTTTTTTTTTCTTCTAAATTCTGTTCTAGAGCGGCTCAGAGGCTGGAGCTGAAGGGGGTGCAGGCGTACAGTAACGTAGAAGCTCTGCAGGGGCTTCACACTTTATCCACAGCGGTGGTGGATTACAGAGGGGTGCGTCTCTCTGCTCAAGGCCTGGCTCCAGGAATAGAAGGTTCAGAGCAGGACCAGGAAGCTGACCCAGCATCTAGGTACAACACTATCCTGAAGCTGATTAATCATTGAAACGCAACATTTGACAAAACATCTGCATTTTTATCAATTCTATCTGACAGAGGCCTTCTGTATGGAGTGAATGCAGGACCCCAAGAATCTCCCCAGCGCAGACGTTTGCTTGAATTACTGGCACAAGCAGCCAAAGCTCTTTACATTCAAAGACATGTAGTTGTTTCACCCAAAGGAAATGTAGTGCCACTGTTCACCTCCCTTGACGCCCAGGGCCTTGTGGGAGCTGATCGGAGGTTCTATGTACTTGATGTATTTAGGAGCTTTCCTGCTGATGCCAACTTTTGTCCAGAGGAAAATAATGAAAGTGTTCCTCCTGAAGATGATCAACAAGAAAATTCAAAAGATGACACTAAAACTACTTTTTGGCCAGAGAATTACTGTTCTGACACTGGATTTCCAAAGTCTTTTCCTCATGGGCTTTGTCGACTAAAAATTGAGTTACTCCGAGCATTCATTCAGCACAAGTAAGTGGCAATCACAATTTCTTACAGACTTACGTTATCTTGTCAGTTCATAACAATCTTTTGGGCTCACTATCCTTTGTTTTATTCATTCATTCAAGACATTATCAGTTTTGTCAGCTTGTGGAGGAGAAGACGGAGGGACACAGAGGCTTAGAAGAATGTGAAGCACCAGGTGAGGGATCCAAAAAATGTCTTTAGTCATTGATATTATCTGAATATTAAACCTCTAATTGTAGGAGAGTTGCGGGCATCTACAATTGCTGTCAGAGAAGCTAGTAAAGAAGTTGGCTCCGTTAGTGATATTATTTTCGAGATGCGCTTCAATCCAAACATTTACTCCCCAGGTACAGACTAAACAAAAGTGTTTTTTGTTTTGTTCCTGTGCTTTGATACATATGTCTCATTTCAGGAGTAACATTCCCTCGTACTGAAAATAAGTCTACTAATCTGCAGAAGAGATTACTGCAGGAAGCGGCGGCTTTCATTGTCACACATCAGATCCCAGATTTTGTAGGTCTCACATGAGTCCTCAATCATGCATGATATTGTAGTTATTGGATATTGTTTGTGCATTTAGGTTGACTATTGTTTACAAAATAATGAAGTTCCAGTTGATTGCACATCCCTGAAAAAGGCATTGCACGATAAAGGAATCAACCTCCGCTACATGGGTCATCTGGTCAAGGCTATCACCCAATCAGAAGACCAGGACAAACTAAGGCACATACTGGTCTGAACACATTCTTCGTTTTTCTTTCCAGTGTGTAAAATTCCTACAATTAACAATTTCTCGTTTGCGTTTATCATCAGAGAATAGCAATCAGTGACATTTTCATCCGCTCAACAAGAAGAATATTCAACCGCTTTGTGCAGGTATTTGGTGACATTTGGTTTTTACATTTTCACTGCTGTTATTACTTGGGCTTTAATGGGTCATAAGCAGCAGGTGTAAACGCTTAAATTGAGTTGTAAATGTGAAAGGAATGTAAAACTTCGGGGCTGTGTCTTTTGTAGGGCGTGGACGTGTCAAGCCTCTCAGCAGCTGTCAGTCACTTTCTCTGCTGCCTCCTTGTCTCACACTATACTCCCTCCGCCATTGGGGACGACATGAAAAAAAAATCACGACGAAGGGGCCGCGTTGCCGGGCCTTCAGAGAGCTCCCAGTGGAGCACACTGACTGCAGCAGAGCTCTGGAACATGGTGTGCCAGGAGGCAGAAGAGACATATAGCATCACTGACATATTAGGGTATGGCACATTTTAAGTGACACTCAATGAACATGAACATAATGATGATGGTGTTGTTGTTGTTGTTGTAGCAATGGCCCAAACCACCTAGTCGAGCACTACAGCCTTCAGAAACTGTCTCTGCTCAGGGAGTTTTGTTTGAAGACTGGAGTACAGGTAAATATTATTCTACATTTGATGTTGGATTCATCAAATGAGTTTCAAAATTAATAGGAAATATAGTAAATATCGGTCTTTCTGAAATTGAATATCTATTTTATAATGGACATTTTTAAGTGACTTGAGACATTCATGATTTAGCTTACATATTGTCTTTTTGATTGACAGTTAAGACTCAAAGACTATTTTGTGGACAACCAAAACAAAGCACCTCTCGGTCCAGAAGACGTTCTCAACATCTTCCCTGTTGTAAAGCACATCGACATGGGGTTTAAAGATGCAGCAAAGTCATTTTACCTGGCAAAGACCTCATTACAAAAAGGTGCAACTTTAATTTGTCCATTTAAAAATTCTGAATCAATCTATATATATATTTTTTTATCATCTAAGGTTTATTGGATCAAGCTTACGAACAGCTGAAAGAAACAACCTACCTATATGGAAGAGTATGTGACGATCTCCATCCTAAGTCATGTTACAGTCACAGTGTTTTTGCGAGAGTGGCTTTTCTAAAGGACAAGTTGGCAGAGGTATGTAGTTTAAGTACACAAATATTATATGAACAAAAAAGTTATTGTCTTCCTTTTCTTTGGGCAGGCTCGGAGGTACTTAACTCAAAAGCAGT